ATATTGATTTTTAGGGTGTATTCACACCAGGAAAGTCCGATAGTTCACTTGCTTTGGTCCGGACCAAATACATTTTTTTTTTTTTTTTTTTTGGTACGGTTCGCTTTCACACTGCTCTTTTTGCAAGTGAACCAAAATTTGTAAACAAAACCACACGTGTGCTAAGGTCGTCCATTCATTGGACAAGGATTCTGAAGTAGGGAAATCAGGAAGTGCAAAAAAGTCTCAACGTAAATTAACACAGCATCATCCTTGTATTGTAACTATCGTTACATTATATGAACTGCAAATGTTTTTTTTGCATCTATGTGTGATTAGACTAAAGAGAACGCTCTGTATGTGAATGTCCTGATGCACACACTCATTCATTCATTCCATTCCAATGATGCACACACGACGCACAGAAAGACGCGCAACAGATGTAATGTAGTAGGCTACAACAGATCACTTTCCCATAACGCAACTCCGACTACGGAAGCCTGTTAACTCAAAGGCGCAGTGCTTTCTTGCAATTGGATCGGTTCATGTTCACACCGTAAACGAACCGTACCAGAGTTCGTTTGGAACCGTACCGAGACCACCTCTTCAGCTGGGTCTCGGTTCGGTTGTTTGGTCCGCACCCGAGTTCGATTGCTGTATTCACACCTGCCCAAAAGGTCCGCACCAAGGGGGAAACGAACTAGAGTTCGATTCAATCGAACCAAACAAGGCAGGTGTGAATACACCCTTAGATAATAAAATACCTAAAAAAGTACACATTGTCCCTTTAATGAGACGACGAGCATATGACTGCATGCTGCTGCCTAGTGGATAAATATATTTCACCTATTTATTATTCAGAATGCACAATTAGAAAGAAAATATATTTATAGGAAGACTTCAGCAGGCTCAAGATAATTAATACAGAGATCATTATTCATTGTTTTAATCAATTGTCAGCCATAAAACAGTGATAATCTGCATTCTCAATCTCATGTATGGAGGTGTGCTGAACGCTCTAACCGGAAACTCCCGATATGTACTAACTAGAACGCGGAAGTAGTTGTGCAAGTAGTCCATTAGAGAGAGATCCAGAGTTCTGGTAGCCAATGGCAACATGCCCTTTCTAGAAGACATCTACATTGCTAACAGGGTCCATTAAAAAGCGTGAACCACTTCAAGGATGTGAACTACATTCAGCATGGAGGAAATGACATGAGCTGAAAAACAACTTTCATATCATGGTTTCAACTGTTTACACCAAAAATATATTTTTAATAATACAATAATATATTGTATAATATATTTTAATACACTAATAATAATAATTAAAATTATATAATATAGTTTATTTAATATAATTACACACTAAAAATAATATAATACATTTAATAAATAGGCTATAATATTTGTATATAGCCTAGCCTATAATAATATAATGCTAAAAATTTTATATTTTTGTAGCTGTATTATTTGTATATTTTGCTCCATTTTAAATAGAGAGTGCCTTTTTTTTTGTTGATAGACAATTTGTACATTAAACCCCTCTTGGAAAAGTTGAGTTGTTTTGTATTGGGGGTTTTTTTTGCACCCACAAATACACCAATCAGGAAGATAGTGGGCCGTCTTCTGGGTGCCTTACATGAGTATAGTCTAACCAAGAACAATGACTAGAGCAGAGAACACCACTGGAACAACAACACTGGCTTTTGTATATCTGGCTTGTGTGACTAGGCTTGTATGTAAAGTTTGTGGTGGGAGGAAGTAAGTGGGTGTGCAGTCAGTGGTGTCTGTACTGTATACAGAACATCAGTTGCTCTTCAACAAATTAATGGTATCCCATCATGCCCATGACCTACTGAATGTTCAAGAACCCCACTGCAAAGAGAACAAGAGACATCGGTTCTCATATAACACCCCACTGCGAGCAGCTTTGCACAGGTCAAGTTACATTAATGCCTGCAACAATGTGATTCCTTTCGTCTCACTTACCTTATACCACAAACACACAAGAAAGCACGAACAATCGCTCAATGACTGAATCAAAGAATCAAATCAAAGAAACACGCTGGCTACTTCTTTCTCTCACTTTTACATCCAAGTCATTTCTTGCATAATTGTGTCACTTTCCCACAAACCCTTTACATGTTTATTTCAACGGATTGAGTATCAGAGTTTTACTGCAACTTCAACATCATAAAAATGTTGAAGTTGCAAGTTATGGAAAAAAGAAGCCCAGTGGTCTCAGTTCATGATGACTATTAGGGTGCTTTTACATGACAACGATGTACTAAAAACGGAAAAGTTTTTTATTTGCATTTTTCACATACAGACGACACCATTGTCAAAATGATCCCTGTTCAGGTTCACTAAAAACGCTGTATTATTCATGCAAGTAGTTAGCAATGTAACTTTCTAAAGAAACGTGATAGTAATAGCCTACGCATGCCGTCATCGTCTTCACAAATTCTCATTTTTTGGGGGTTTTTTAGTATCAATTTTCAGGCCCCCTAACGTTTTAGTTGAACATTGTGTTGTGTAAACACCCCGTGAAAGTGGTGTCATCATGTGGTTACCACAAATAAATAGCATCCGTTTTGTGTGCTGGAATTATAGAACCTAAATTTTAACCATTTATTCTCAAATGGGCTGGTCTTTCACATTCACAGGTGAATATGATTTGTCTGCATGATAGCTCAATGATACTTCAAATGGAATGAATACATGTGCCTTGTTTGTTCTAGGCGTACTTTTATATTTAAAAGAAGTCAGACCTCAAATCTTTCTGATGGTCTATAAAACAGGCTAAACAATCCCACAGAACTACTTTGATGGAGCGACCAGACTTTTGATGAACACTTTTGACTTTAGCATGTAAGCAACCCCTTAGAAACCGTATAGCAACACCTTGGTAACAATCAACAACACCACAGGAATACTGAAAATGTAAAGATCTAGTAGTCCCAAGCAGTTCACTAATTCAATTTGTCAATCTAAAAAAACAACAATGTGCAGTTTCTAAGGATCGTATCACTTCCATTCCAGATTTTCAGAGGAACACTTTTCAACATGTTTTGAAATTCCAAAACACCCAATTACCAACCAAACAACAAAGCAACTCATCCGTATAAAAAGACGGTTACACTTCACGCTATAAGAAAAACGCATTATACAACCACATACCCAGAGGAAGCTAGAGGGAGGGATGAAATATGAAGAACGGTTTATTAAGAAGACAAAAATAAAAGCGTAAAGTGCGTGTGGGTGTGTGAGAAAGAGAGAATAAGAGTGAGAGACGCTTATTTTGTGACGCCTTTTTATGGGCCATGCATAATCAGCATGATCCGCCACCACAATAAAGACAGTGTACAAAGGACCCAGAAGCGACAAAGGCCATGTAACCCTGCTCCTCTGTCACAACACACTAACACGACGTGAAACTGTATCATGGGCTTCATCTGGGTGAGGCATGGACCCATTGTCCTCATGTTACACTGACTATCATCATCAAAAGCACAACTAGAGCACATATACAAACAATGGCATGCCAATATTTTATATACCCAACATTCATTATCATCAACATCACCATGTGGGTCACATTACATCCAACCTCCCCATACTGAGAACAGCCAAGCCACAATCCCCAATTTGGATCATCCATGCAACAGCTGCATGCCAGGCTGTGGAAGGCACCCTCATTTCCATCTCAAGAGCCCCTGATTGAGAAATAGGCATCATCCCTGGGCTGGCAAACCCCTAAATTGGCCACTGGCCCATAATTGGATCCAAACAAGGCACATGTATTCATATCCATGCATAGGCTACATGTCTGCTCATTTGCGGCATTCAATGCACGCACATTTTCATCCGCTGCATTTGCTTGACTCGCATAAATAGCCCGGGCATAACGGAGGGCATATGAAGTTGGCACCACACTGGTGTTCTCTACACTCAAGTATTTTAAAGCAACCCCCTTTGCTCTGCTGGAGGGCAGGAATACATTTGTCCACGGTCACGATTCATTAAACCCATCAACACATTTCCCAGCGTTACGAAATCACCTGCGGTTTGCCATGAGAATGTGTGGATGAGGAATTTGAAAAAGTGAATAATAATGTTAAATATTGACATTAAAAGGGCCTAAAAGTGCATTTTTCACAGATTGTCAAGTTGAAATAGCCTTACTGTCTTCATTTTATTTGTATGTCATATTACAGATGAAAGAACTGCAATAATATTTCAAGGTTCTGATATTAATTACTAATCTTAGATATTCTCATAAATCATGAGAGTACAGACTAATTGCCATTGATCACATTTTCTTTCTGAATAAGTAGGCTAGCTGATAGATACTTATTGTAAATGTGTATGTTTTAAAGTGTTGTTATTTTAAATTAAAAAGTAAAATAAAAAAAAGTGTGCGTGTGTCCCAATTATGCGAGGTTTCACCAAAAATAACAAGTAATAGAAATTTTTACCAGGAAATAAAATGAAATTTAAATGGACAAATATGGGATTAAATGGATTTAAAGGTATTCTATCAGTCTTGGTAGTGCATTGACACGTGCATAACAACTGGTTCAAATGAAAAGCTTTAAATAAATGTTTATTCAACACAACAATTGAATTTCAGTATGATGATTCTACACAAGTGGAGAGACAGCCGTAAAACAAAACTACAAAAACAAATCTACAAAGACTGTCAAGACTGTTATTTAAGCAGGTGGTGGAATTCGGTCACGTTACTAGTCAAAGCTTAAATAAACACTTATAAGCAACAGTTTTGCTTTCCTTTTATAGCTAAACCAACAACAACCACATTTAAACACGACATATAGTTCGTGTTGACAAAACAACCGTCGATTAAACAACATTTAATCAGATTACTCGAACCAAACACTCCTCAAAACCTGGCAGTTTTGTTTGATAAACATAAGTGACAAACATCATTTTAGCGTCACGTCTACCTTCCGTTTAAGCGAAAATGACCGTTGCAATAAACACAACGCCACACTTACCAGAGACGGTAAACGTTGTTCGGACGCGAGTCCCTGCCCTCGCCTGCTTCTCGGAGGCCGGATGCCGTGTTTCCACTCTCCGCCAACACACAAGCCGCCTTTCCGACGAAAAACACACAGCCTCACCCGAGCTATATCGGTCAAACTTGAGCTAATATCCTCAGCAGAACGGGTCGGAGGAGCTTCCCTTGTGGTTCAGTATGGCGAGCGTTTGTTTCCCTGGAGCGTACAGTGCTCGAGGCCGGGAGGGGTGCTGCTGCTGCCCGTCTACTGACGCCTCCGCCTAGGGGTGACATCGGAGGAAGAGGAAAACCTTCTTGCACAATTATTTGAACATCGCACTGATATGTAACTTGACAAACAGCGCCACCTGCAGTATAATGGGCGCTATGAAACATCTGCTCTTGTGTTTTTCGTGTTGAGGTGGCGTCGTGGAGAGAGAGTTCACCCAAAATGTTTTATTTTGTCATCATTTACTCCCCCTCAAGGTGTTCGGAACCTGTGCTTCTTTGTTCTGTTGAACACAAGATACAATTAATTGAAGAATGTTGGTAACCAGACAGTTGAGGGCACCCATTGACTTCCATAGTATTTTTTTCCTACTATGGAAGTCATTGGGTGCCGTCAACTGTCTGATTACCAACATTCTTCAAAATATCTTCTTTAGTGTTCGACAGAACAAAGAAACTCATACAGGTTTGGAACAACTTGAGGGTGATTAAGTAATATGACAAATGCTTCATTTTTGGTGGTCTCTGATCTTGTCAGGTGTTCTCCAAACTCATCAGGCATTATAGGAGAAGACTCAGAGCTGTTATCTTAAAGGTTGCAAAAAGTATTTAATAAAAGGGGGCATAATTGTTCCCAACGTGTTTTGGAGAAAAGCATTTATTTCATAATGTGATTTTCCAATTCTTTCAATTCTTTTACTTCAATAAAAAGTTAGATTTTTGCATTAAAAAAAATCAAAAGGATAAACAATGCAGATTTATTTTTTACAGCCATCTTTGATCATATTTACCAAGGGGGCAAATAATTCTGACCAGCACTGTACAGTAACGGTCAAAAGTTTGGAAACATTACTGTTTTTTAATGTTTTTGAAAGAAGTCTCTTATGCAAATCAAGCCTGCATTTATTTGATCAAAAATACAGAAAAAACAGTAATGTTCTGAAATATTAATACAATTTAAAATAATGGTTTTCTATTTTAATATATAAATATAATTTATTTCTGTGATGCAAAGCTGAATTTTCAGCATCATAACTCCAGTCTTCAGTGTCCTTCAGAAATCATTATAATATGCTGATTTATTATCAATGTTGGAAACAGTTGTGCTCATTAATATTTAGTTTATAACCTGTAGAAATATTTGGTAACAATATGAAATATACACTGTCACTACTGTTCAAACGTTTGGGGTCAGTAATTTTACTTTCTTTTCTTTTTTTTTAAAAGAAATTAATACTTTTATTCAGCAAGGATGTGTTAAATTGATAAAAAGTGATCGTCAAGATTTATATTGTTTTTTCCTGGAGGTCCTGGACATCTTCAGATACATGGTATCATGGATTTGAGAAATGTAATAAAATATTTAATATATTTAATAAAAGGTAATATGGCCAATGTGTTTTGGAGAAAAGCATTTATTTTATAATGTGCCCCGCCCCGCCCCGCCCCGCCCCGCCCCGCCCCGCCCCTTTCAATTCTTTTACTTCAGTGAATTTTTTTTAATGAAAGATCAAAAGGATAAACAATGCAGATTTATTTTTACAGCCAACTTTGATCATATTTACCAGGGGTGACAATATATATTGACTCGTGTATGTCATGTACTGTATATGAGGACGTACTATGTTAATATATAGATGTTCTGGAAATGATTTAGTAATTATTGGATTATTTGAGAATACAGTAGCCTAATTAAATAGAAATTTAAACTAGTGCATGCAATGAGAAGCTCACTTTGCAATTGATATACTGTTATATATTTTTTTATTTCAATTGAACGTGTGACAAAGACCAACACAAACCGCACAAAACATGCTCACAATCACACACCGACACCACAGACCGAGAATTTTTATGCAAGACAGAAAGTTTTGTTCATGTACTCGTGACGTCACTGTGTGACTCATTTGCATGATTGCAATTATGTTCTTTTCAAAATGAAACTGTTTAATACTTATTACAGGAATTCATAGCCAAAAAAGAAGAAGAAAGACAGAAAGAAAGAAGAAATTTTCCTGTCATGTCTTACAAAAGATGATTACCACATAAACATTGCTGAATAATGCACTGGTGAAATTATGTGATAACTCACACTTTCCGTTTATGTAAGAAACCCACAACTATACTATATCGTATATCACTATAAGATATACTATAAGACATATAAGCTTTATGTAACGAAATATGAAATATGACAAAGTTAAAAATATTAAAAGTATTAAATTAAAAGTATTAAATTAGGTATTAAATAGGCCTATATTTAGTATTTAAAACTGTTTTGTTTATTAATGAATATTGATAAACATTTACCATTGTTCATGATAAAAATTACTTTGTATTGAATATTAGTACAAACACAAAACAGCATGAAAAATGACACATGATGCGTTTAGAATTTCAAAGCTTTAAATTTCAATTAGGCTATACTGTATTCTCAAATAATCCAATAATTACTAAATCATTTCCAGAACATCTATATATTAACATAGTACGTCCTCATATACAGTACATGACATACACGCGTCAATATACAGTATATTGATCAATATAAATGGATTATTTTTCAAAGAGGCATCAACTACTGAACCATTGTTTTTTGAGGCATTACCTACTGAACTGTGGTTGCGTAATACCACATAAATTCTTAGGACAATGCAAAAAATACATATATAGTTTTTAGATAAATGAAAAAGTAACTGTACTATATAAATACTATTTAAAGGCATTTTTAGTTTTGCTAAACAGCACAAAACAATGGCAGACAGAAAGACAGACGGACGGACAAGATAGATAGATAGATAGATAGATAGATAGATAGATAGATAGATAGATAGATAGATAGATAGATAGATAGATAGATAGATAGATAGATAGATAGATAGATAGATAGATAGATAGATAGAGAGATAGATAGATAGATAGATAGATAAGACAGGACGTCAAAAGGTTTAAGGAAGTTCATAAGATTCGAAATGAGCATTTTTATGTAGTCATATTCTCTGTCATCCACACCGCACACCCCTCCCAAAATTTTCGCAATTCACCATTATAGCTAATAAACTGCCACTATAAAAGAACTGAAGAAATAACAGATTACAGAGCAGAAGACAAGTGCACTACAAGATCCAAGAAACATGAAGACCCCGACCCTCCTGTGTCTCTGTTTCTTAAGTTTCAGGTGAGTCCTTCCATTGTCAAGATACCGGGATATATAATGAATGTATAATGTTGTAATGAAAAGTCTTCGGTGATGAATTGTGCATATCTGAGACACAGTTTGCTTTTAGATACAGTTTGGCAGCCAGCTCTGTGGAAGATGTGTACGAATATCTGTGGGAGAAGAATAAAGACATCGCCAATAAGACCCTCGGGACTGACTTCCTGATACAGATGCAGAACGGCAGCCTTCAGGCGGAGCGATACGTCAACTTCACCATACAGGACATCGGCTATCTACTGAAAGTGACCAGAATGCTGAAGAGATTGAGTGGAAAAGAAACTCAGCCCGCTGAACTCAGGGACTTCATGAAAGGCAGATACTCAAGCTACAAAAGCTTTGCAGACTTCATGCTCAAACAATATTTTTTCAAGGTAAGAACAGAAACACAAAGACTTTAAACTTTCAAGCTAGTTCTGAATCTACTGAAGATGCTTTATACTATCATTTCATTTCTCCAGGGTGAGCCTCCCATCCAGCAGACTCCAGCTATGAGGAAGTATCTGTCGTTCTACAGAAACCTGCTGGAAAAAGAAGATCCGCTGTACTTTGCTGTGGGTCTCCTGCCCTGCTCTAGACTCTGGGTGTGGTTGAGTAATAATCTCAGCACACCTCCAACCAATGCCTACTACACTTGGAAGGTGGAGAATATGGGCGGCCATCCCGAGAAACACTACAGAGCTCTGCTGAACCAGTATCTGGACACACCTGTAAAAGTGTCCAAGGCTAATGCTATATTCCGTACACAGATGCAGAATGAGCATGATTTCTTCTTCTCATCTTGAGTAAATGCAAACTGTGCTGTCTGAGCAATGTATTTGATGGCTTCTTTTAAGCCTGTAATCATTTAAAAATAACTTAATATTATACCAAGTTAAATTTAATATTTAAAAACTGTACGCAACCACATTTTTTGGCCAGTTTACAAACAATAATAAAAACAATACAATTCATTTACATTTTGTCTGAATATTTAATGTCTGTTATATTACCCATCTGTGCATTAACCTTTAATAATCACGAAGAGCTATTGAATTGTCGTCTTGAATTATGTCTGACAGCTCACACTACTTTTGTTAAATCTACATTCTGATATATATTCCATATTGAAATATATTCCACACTTTATGGTGTTATGTGGTTACAATATACAGGTGAAACTCGAAAAATTTGAATATAGCGCAAAAGTTCGTTTATTTCAGGAAATAAACTTAAAAGGTGAAACTAATAGGCTATATTATATAGACTCATTACATGCAAAATTAGATATTTCAAGCCTTTATTTGTTATAATTTTGATGATTATGGCTTACAGCTTATGAAAACCCCAAATTCAAAATTTGAATATTGTGAAAAGTTTGAAAAAGCTGTAAACCATAATCATCAAAATTATAACAAATAAAGGCTTGAAATATCTCACTTTGCATGTAATGAATCTATATCATATATTAGTTTCACATTTTAAGTTGAATCACTGAAATAAATGAACTTTTGCACGATATTTCTATCGTGTTTCACCTGTAATGTAATATTATAGTGTGATTTTGTAAGCAGATTTTGTATTTTATAGCAGATTTTGTAAGTCAATTGTTTTATTTGTGATAACGCAATGAAACATGCCAATTGTGCCAACATAATATTTTTTGAAAAGCAAGTTTAGAGTTTTGTTCTTGCCTGATTTAAAAAAAAAAAAAAAATCCTCATATTTTGTTGGTTTAATTAAACTTAATGAAGCTTATAAATCATACTAAGTTATATTTTTGATAATGTAAATAGAGAAAGTTTTAAGTGATTGGTAGGTTTAGGGTTAAGGGGATAGAATATAGTTTGTAGTTTAAAAAGTCATTATGGAAAGTTCCCATATGTGAAAACCCAACATGTGTGTGTGTGTGTTTATGTGTGTAAAATAATATATATGTCAGCTCTTATCTGTAATACAAACTGTTATTTCTACAGTGAACCACTTGTTTTATTGTGGCAGTTTATTAGCTAATGCAGAATTGTGGCAATTGATGCTGTCAAAATAACATCATTGTTAAATCAAAGTTAAACGCATCTTTTTTTGTGTAGACAAAAGTGCTCATTTTGAATCTTGCAAGCTTCTTTATCATCCCTGTTGACATCCTAATCTATACTGGCTTTATATATTTTAAAATATATAGGCCTAATAATATATAATAATATTTATCATAAATACATTTTTATTTTTATTATTTTGTGGAAGTTTCATACGTTTTTCATATATAATTGTTTATTTCAGAGAGGTTTTATTGGTTAATGACTACTTTGAATCAAATGTCCTCTGAGTCTTTGTGACACCGCAGTTCAAGTGCACTTTACCCCAGTTATCACATAAGTTACACAGAGACACAGTCAAACGCACTGCAGTTCACCTCGCTCGTCTACACTTTACTGGATTAAAGATGTCCCGGGCCGCAGACAGATTAAAAGTGGTTTTGAATCATCTGGATCGGTCCCACGGCGCTGTCGTATCCTTTTAGAGAGGTTTTTCGAGCGAGCGTCGCGATGAACTCGAACGCGTTTGGTCGAGGAAGCTGAAGGCGCGTCTGCCTCAAACATAGCGGCTGATCCGGGATGACTGATACAGTACACGCCGAGGCATTACGGACAGGCCTCGTTTATTGCTCACTACTTTTTATCGATGGAAATACATATTTCTAACAACATTGGATCATGTTTTAATTATAATTACTCTTTTGCTATAGTAAATAAATCAAATAAAGCACAGCGATTCCTTTACGTTAACGTTACGTGTGTTTTGTTTTGTTTTGTTGACATGTTATTATATATTATGAACTTTAACCTTATTATTCAGCGAGCATCCTTCACTTCTGCCCAAAATGTGTCCTATCATCATCATCATCCTCAAGCCTTTCAGTTAGTCAGCTGATCTTTCAATGTATTTGCCTGTGGTTATCATCATGTACAACGCATTTTATAATTGTTTTAGTTTTTAAATATGTCTCTATTTAGTTTGTTCTTGGTCTGGTTGTAAAGTATGTTCTGGTTTGTCTGTAGATACACTTTTGACACGGATCTCCTGACTCCAGAACAGAGAATCGCCTACGAAAAGGATGGTTTCATACTCATCCGAAACTTGGTATCGGACGAGGATATTGACCAATTCAGGCAAGACTGATCAACACATTTTTTTTAAATGCATTGAACTTATTCATTTAGTTTTTAACTATGGTTTTTAAAACAGAACTAAAGAAATATGTCAGGAAAGCTTGCTTTTTTTATTGAAATATTGCTTCTTGTAATTGAAATATTGCAGACTGAATTCATACAAGAATGCATCCTGTTTGAACTGCCCCTAAATCTACCATAGACAGTTTGACTATGGACTTTCAGGCGGGCACTGATAAACATATCTAATGAGATGAGAATACAGCAAACAATATATTGACTAAATGTCTTTATTGTCTCTTTAATGTTTCACCTGCCACCATAATATAAAGTCTTATATTATCTTAATTTGGTGAGCAAATATTGATAATTATTTATTTTGTAAAAGTAATCCACTGTTATATATGCATCCACACAAGGTATTTTTTAATGCAATTGTGAACGTAATCACAGAGGGTTACATCACACATATTCTAATATTTATTGCATTATTTAAATTATGCAACACTGCCACTTTCAATCAATGAGAAATTCTGCCCAGTGGGATTAATAGGTGATTATTAGGCTACATGTACATGTGAGTAGATCATTAACAGAAACTCTGAACCGAAGTTTAAAGAGATCAGTGCTCTGCTTTGCACAAAGTCTGTACATAACTGAGTGTGTGTTTCACAGTAAAGAGTTTGAGCGCATCTGTAAGAGAGAGGTGAAGGTGCCTGGTTTGTTGGTGATGAGAGATGTATCCATTGCTAAATCCGAGTTTGTTGAAGGCGAGAAGGCTGTTACCAAACTTCAGGACTTCCAGGAAGATCCAGAACTTTTCCGCTACTGCACTTTACCCCAGGTAGAAGCAAAAAAATACACTCTCTAAAGCAACAACAAAATCTATTTTGAATTTAATTTTGAATGCTTGTTTCTCAGATCCTGAAGTATGTGAAGTGTTTCACCGGACCCAACATCATGGCCATGCACACCATGCTCATCAACAAACCACCTGACACAGGTATAGATACGCTTAACCCTCTGGTGCTCTTCGGTCATTTTTGACTGAAAAATTGTACATTTGTTTATTTATTTATTTTTTCGTCTTCATCAGAATGATACGAAACTTGGTAAAGGTTTTGGCACTTGTTATGTGAACACAAAAAAAATCATGGACATGATTCGAACAGATTAAATGGTCCTGAATTTTTATGCTCAAAAAGTGAATAAATGGATTACAAATACAGCTTAAATATAATTTAGTACCATACAATCCCCTAAAAATACAACATTAAATAAAAAACATTATCGAACTAAAATAAAGTACATTATTTCATTGAATTAAAAATTAAATTTTTGACCGACACATGAAGAGCACATGATTTACACAAGTTCGAAGTGTTCCTGAATCAACATCCTTGTTGGTGCGCATGTGTAGCCTTCTGTGTTGGTCTGGCGATCGGATCAAGCAGAATGTCTTTGGAATTTTTATTCCTTAGTTATCTTGATTAACTGTGCATTTTTATGTTTTATATATATATACACTCATCAAAATGTTTCCAGTATGGCATGGAAGATTCATCCCAAACATGAAATGTGTGATGCAGAGGTTTGCATCTAAATACCTAAATGTGCAATTATTTCAAACTTCCCAGGTAAGAAGACCTCTCGCCATCCCATGCACCAGGATCTACACTACTTCCCCTTCCGACCTGCCGATCGCATTGTGTGTTCATGGACCGCCATGGAGAAAGTGCACCGGCAAAACGGCTGCCTGGTCGTCCTGCCCGGCTCACACCATGGCACTCTGCAGGAACACGACTACCCAGAATGGGAGGTGAGAGAGACACAGGAATGAGGATGATTACGCAGATGGTCCACATCAGTCAGCCTCATTTTGCTTCTTTGTTTCCTTCCAGGGTGGAATAAATAAGATGTACCACGGGGTGCGTAACTACGACCCAGACCATCCCAGAGTGCATTTAGAGATGGAGAAAGGAGATACAGTGTTTTTCCATCCTTTGCTGATCCATGGCTCAGGAATGAACCAAACCAAGGGATTTCGAAAGGTAGGATGTACTTGCATGCATAAAAATGGAGCTTTTACTCTAGTATTTAAGACATTTCCCTCCCTGGTAGTAAAATCAAGACCAAGTTGACAGACCCGTGTAAATGGGGACCAATGCCATCTTCTCAACCTCAAAACACATTCAGATGTGGTCAGGGATGCATTAGGCCACATTGCATTTGTAGTATTAACCATTGCATAACCATTTTAATGCAAATTTTGGGATATCGCATAAAAAAAACGCTGGATGGAAATGCCAAGTGTGCAATTAAGGCGTTTTTTATCTAATTAGATAACACGCGTATAAACTATGATGAAAATTCACGTGACTTTGCCTCAGCAGAGATTGTGATTGGATAGATTGGACCAATTTTATTTCACAGAAATGTTGGTTTGATCATTCTGAAATGCCTGAGCCAATGTCTGTCATCAAGAGGATTTGGTTTAATTCCCTCCTAGAACCGTCTCACATGATTGCATTCCCAAACACCTGGTAGCCGAGCGCAAGATGACATGATAACATGTTTATTGCATTTCGTCTACACTCTCTGGGGTGCAAGTATTTTATGAGGTACAAGCCAAAGTGGCTTTCCCAATTGCAGCAACTTCCATTTTTATTAGATATTTTGCCGCAATTTACCAGAAAGTGACGATTTTGCTCTTTTGAGCGCATGGGATGGAAACGGTGCTTTATTCGCAAATGTTTTATGCAATATTCCAATTTTGCGTATAGGTTAAATTCGCAACTTTGAATGGAAACATAGCAACTTTCATACATATCTTACTGATGCAACATGTTATTTCAATAAAACAAGAGAGTTTAAAACTCAAATCTATATGACCCTAAAATAAAACCATTGTCAAATCTGAAATTTGGAAAAGTGTTCAATTACATAAACAACAGCAACAATGCACTGAAAAAGTAAAGTAAGCGATTACTCTTAATTTTCTGCCATTTAATTAGTTACTTCTGATGAAATGAAATTAAAAACTATATACTATAGAACAATTCTATGTAAAACAACAGTGAAATTTAACTAATTTAATGGCTAATGTTAAAATCTATGTAAGCTTCTCTCTTTAAATACTTTGGTCAGTTCAAGAATAATTAATGCAATTTTATATTATTTATTTGAAAGAGCAGTTTCATGTCTATTCTGTATTGTTCTACTGGTCAGGGTTGATATGGGATTTAGAAAGTAATTAGTAATAAATAATGCAATACTTTTTAGAGCGAGTCATTAGTACAGTAATCTAATTACACTGTTGGAGATGTAATTAGTAGCTAGTAATTACTTTTTGAAGAGAAACTTACCCAACACTGTTGTGTAAGTGTTGTATGTAGTCACTAAATCCAAGACTACTCTGTGTTCATTTATTTCAGGCCATCTCCTGTCACTATGCCAGCTCTGACTGCTATTACATAGATGTGAAAGGAACGACTCAGGAGAACATCAGCAATGAAGTGAAGGAACTTGCAGCCAAGAAGTATGGGGTTGACGATACAATCTCCTTTCAGGTGTGTTTCCAGCTTCAAGCGCAAAGTTTCTTTCATGCACGTGGCTTATCTTCAACATGCACGCGTTTGCTCTATATGCAGGACACTTGGGCTTTGCGGGGACGTCTGGTCCATGGAGAAAGAACATCGATGTGACTTGTGACTCATCTGTCTGGCTTAGAGAGAGGACGGCTTCACAACTGGATTAATTAACAGCGCACAGCTGTTTGTTAATTTGACAATTTCCTTCAAATTTGATCATTATGGTTACATAATTGATAATTATGGAAAGTACAGCTTTCACCATCAGGTGGCAGTGTAGGGAGTAAATCATGGATCACACACACTGAATTGCCATCTGTGCCTGGGACGATCAGTCCTGATACCGATCTAATAATAATGAAAGCCAGACATTGTAATATTAGCATCAACGGATCTTGGTGTGGCGGAAATTGGATAAATACTTCAGGTGTTTGTGAGAGTGTTTCCTGCAAGTAATTATTAGTGAGGTTGTTGCTTATTAGAAGTACTTTGATGAAAATTCTAGTTCACAGCAGGTACTTCGGAAGGAATAATCGAGTACAGCACTTAATCTGCCTTCATTTGAAACAGATACAGCTTTTTGCTGATGTAAATGGGTTTTGAAAGAATCAGAGGCAAAGCAGATCATTTTACTATTAATTCTGAAATATTAAAGGGATTAATATGTTTTATCAACATTAGATCAGGTCTAAACATACCTATTAAACTTTGACTCTACAGTAATACAAACATTTCTTTTATAATAACAGTTTATAATCTAACTGGGAAAATTTAAAAAAAGTTTCTACCATATATTTTTGCTTAATTTAAATAAAATATACTTATATGTGAATGCCAATGTTTAACTACAATAAATGCATTTAATAAGGTACTGAACTTTACTGTGTATTATTTTTTTTTAATGTGCTAAAAGAAACACCATTGAGACTTTTGCCTATGCAGGAGAATATTTTCGAGAAGTTTCTCTGAAACTTGCATGCAGAGTGGAAGCTAGGCCTATAGATAATGCGTGAGCAGATGAACGTTTTCAATTTAAATTTAAATTTCCTCGTTCGCATGCACAAGTGTTTTGTGCGCATGCAGAGCAATAGAAGCCACCTTTGACTTGATATCAGGCACTAGTGGTTTTCCAACCTCGATTTAACAGATGTGAGCAAAATACACAATCTATTTATATATTAACCAGCTAACTGCAGTCCAAATCTTTGATCATGCTGATTAAAAGCAGAATATGTGGGCATTTTAAGAGCAGCCATGAATGCTTGTTTGTTTCTCTCTCTGCATACACACATATAATAAATACCATACGTGCCCAGACTGCAGTCTCCATTGAAATTAAATTGCTTAGGTGCACTCAATGAAAGTGGCTATTTAAAGAGGTCCATGGTACAAACCAGTTCAAACCACACCCTATTGACAACTTTACACAGAAACCAACAGTAAGGATGGAGCAGTGAGTTTGGTTCTTGTTCACATTTGAATCATTGGCATCAATGGTCTCTAAGATCAACTTAGCTTTACTAGATTGAGCTCAAAGGGATAGTTCACCCAAAAATGAAATTTCTGTCTTATTATTTTTTTTATTCACCCTCATGTCGTTCCAAACGTCTATGAAGACGTTTGGCAGAATCTTCAGGATGCTGTTTTCCATATATTAAAAAGAAATGGGCTGTCAAGCTCCAAAAAAAGCATGATAAAATCGGTTCATATGATATCAAGTGGCCCAAAACAAACCACATTTGAATGTATACAAGTGCAAATGAGATTTGAGTGTTATAGCATTCCATTCCATTCTTTAGTGTCAGATGACAGTATGGATTTGGAACGACATGAGGGTTAGTAAATAGTATTTAGGTAAGCAAATCCTTATATAAAACATGCTTATATACTAATTTTGTGGAAAAACTCATGCCTGGAATAGTATTTCACATCTGTGTGTATTATGGGTAATAGAGAATGGGTCTCTACTGTTGCCTGGGGTGTCTGCCTTATGGAGACCTGGAACCAAAGAAAATACCTGGATGGTATCCAGACATCCAGGAATCCATTTACACAGCATGGAAAAATGCCTCATAAATGCACATGCACACACTATAGCCAAACCAACCCGGAAAGGGCACATCATTGAAACATTATGCAGGTTTTCTTAATAGACGTTGATATATTTTGCTAAGCGTTGAGAGACGGAACAATACTTTTAACTTCGCTCTAATCTCTTCCTTTAAACACACTGTATGTCTGTTTCTCATTTACTGACATTTTATGCTAGTTGTTACTATAATTCTCTCTCTTTCTGTCAGTTTCTCTTTTAGGTACAGACTAGATGGAGACTGACTGATAGTTCTTGTGTAAAATAATGTCATGGATCCATGCCTGGCTCCAGCTATAAGATGGAAGGAGAGCCTCTCAATAGTTGTTTAAGTATGTTGTTTAGGTATGCAGATGTGTAGTATAAATATTACATCCGCCATATGACATTCAGACATTTAGTAGTGAAGAATACTTGAGACAAGATGTGTCTCACACAAAACTCCCGCCGGCTTTGTAGCAAGACAGTCATTTCTGACACTCTTGGTAAAGAATGCCACGTGTGGCACACAGTCACACATAAAACAAGGACCTACATCTACTGCATAAGTATTCCCTGGAAAGTTTGGGAACATATTTAAATGATTTATACAGAGAGTACTGCTGAAATGATGTGGATGGATGAAAAGAGCTGCTCAGCTCAGTTTAGACTAGAGAGATTGGATGGAAGGATGGATGGATGGACGGACAGAACGAACGATCCAGTAGATGGAACAGATAGAACGATAGATGGATGAATGGATATGAAAAGCGCTGCTTAGCTAACAGTTTAGATGGACAGACAGGCAGATAGAGCAAACGATAGACCAGATGGATGAACGAAAGAATGGATGGAAAAAAGATAGAACGAACGATAGATGGAACGAATGAACGGCCAATAGATAGATAACCGATGGATAGAATGATGGATGGATGGAATAATGGATAGATAGGAGGAAAGAATGAACCAACGAATGATAAAACGAACGATAGCTGGAACGAACAATCGTCCAACAGACAGATAGACAGGCAGATAGAGCAAACGATAGAACAGATGAATGAACGATGGAAAAGACAGAACTAACGATAGATGGAACGAATTAACGACCAATAACCCATGAATAGAATGATGGATAGATGGAATAATGGAAAGATAAGAGGAAATAACGAACCAACGAAAGTTGGAACAAACGATAGATGGAACGAATGAACGACAGACAGATAGACAGAAAGATAGACAGATAGATAGACAGACAGACAGATACATAGATAAGATAGATAGACAGACAGACAGAGACAGACAGACAGATAGATAGATAAACAGAAAGATAGACAGATAGATAGATAGATAGATAGATAGATAGATAGATAGATAGATAGATAGATAGATAGATAGATAGATAGATAGATAGATAGATAGATAGATAGACAGACAGACAGACAGATAGATAAGATAGATAGACGGACAGACAGACAGACAGACAGAGACAGACAGACAGATAGATAGACAGATAGATCGATAAGATAGATAGACAGAGACAGAGAGACAGATAGATAGATAGACAGGTAGACAGATAGGTAGACAGACAGACAGATACACTGTAAAAAGTAAAACATTGCTGTTTTTCGTTTGATATATTTATTTTCATTCCAATAGCCTAAAATTATTAGATTGTTAGGTAAAATTACATTTTGTAATTTGTATGTGTCTTTCAATCTATTTTCTTAGATTGATACAATATAAAATTATAACATAATAATGAAATTTAAATTATACATTCGATCAAACGACTTTTATTAGATTAAGCATGGTTTGCGCATGCGCACACATGAAAACTCGAGAGAAAGTTCTGGAAGAGACCGTTGGAGGCTTATCTGCTGATCAGCGCGAGGCGAACAGGACACGTTTGTCAGGTAAGGGAGGAATTCACCAAAATTGCACGTCTGCATTATCCTTGCCCTTTATTTCAGCACTCACACTATAATTTTTATAAGGTGACAGTTCAGTTTTTATAAGGTGACTTCTTTTTCACAGTTTTACTGATAGCCAGGTTAGCAGCGACCGTAACGTTATACCGCCTATAGCGCGACCTACCTAACGTTAGCGCAATGTAGAAACTCATTCAGCATTTAAATAAGTTACTTGAAAATTATTAATGTCATATCATTTTAATGAACAGACACGCTGATTAGAAGTTATTATAACTTTAATTTCGACATTAGCGGTATGTATATATATAACATGGCGCCATTTTACAGCTAAGTTAGCAACGATTTTCCTGGGAAATCCAAGAATTTAATATTATAACGTTATAGACTGATTGAACGGATATTATGAAAGGAAAAAAATATTTTCTCGCTCTGAATGTTGTAAAAAAAAGTTGTATTCATGACTAAAGCTTGAGTATATTGCATTTCTTTTCGACAATTAACGTTAAATGAATCACCTCAATATGCGAGTGACGTGTAGCTGCTAACGTTTCCCGCTCAGAGTTTAGCCTCTGCTCCGGGCGCTCAATGCCAAAATGAACGCGGATTTTATATGTTTTATGTTTTGAATTTGCGAAGGCGGAAATGAACGTGAGGAAAATGAATTTACACTTTGAAACTGTAAAACTAAAACGGATTAATGTTTGGATTTGAATTTTAGGAAAGCTGCTGCTTGGTAGGCCCAGTTCCTGATGCCAGTTTTGGTTGCCTGTCAAGACACTGGTGGTAAGTTGTTTTTGTCGGGGGGGGGGGGGTAACGTTCTACTTATGGGGCCGATCCAGTATCGTGATCGATACCAGTGTAATTCACGTATCGGATTTTCCCGATCCAACCTGCGGAGATATCCGATATCCATGAGCCATGTCTGCGCTTTAACGTTGTCTGCTGAAATGACTGAAAAAGTGATTCCCGCCGGCAAGTCTATTAGCTGGCTGCAAATTGTGGAATGGATTTCCTGAACGGAGGCGCGGCTCAATGAGACACAGAGACCCCCCGCTCAGGAAATCCATTCCGCAGTTTGCAGCCAGCTTGGCAGGATAGCATTGTGGCTAGCCAACATCAGAGCCATAGAGAGAAATAGACGGTGGGCCGAGGGGGGATTTCGTGTTTTCAGACGATCTCTGGGGATGGATAACCCAGTTTTTTATATATAACCACTACACTTTTCAACAAAGCAAATAAAAATTGTTGCCACTCACATACTTTACACATTACTGCAAATACAGTAAAGCCTAAATCCGCCTCACAAACAGCTCGCCAGCAACAAAAGTTCTTTTTCGTGGATGATATCGCTTCAACAGTTAAAAACACGCAAAATGATGTCAAAACTCTGGTCTTGGTGAGTAACCTCGTAAAGACAGTCGGTTATGTCTTAAATAAGCATAAAACGCGTGTGACAGACAGTAACGTTATAATGAAACAGTAATGGATCCGTGCACTAGCTCTTAAAGTGAACGGAGCCATATCTGTCATTAATTTTGTTGTCAAAACAACATAATATAGCATTAATTGTAAGGAATCAGAATGAATAGCCTATGTATTTAATTCAGTCAGGACTAAAAGACTATGCAGTGTTATTTTACATTGGATTACTTTATTCAGTTTCTGTAGTATTTCTGACAAAAACTTTTCTTTTTATGTCTCTTTATTTGTGTCTTTAGGCCTATTCTATTGTATTTATTTGTGCTACTTTTTTCAATTTAATTCAAAGATTGAAATCAAGCTTCCATGTGTTGCATAAACTCTTAACAAAAAAATTACCCCATTGTAAAAACAAACATTTAGGTGAGATCAATGTAATAAAAAATTGTCTAAAAAATGATAACTGATATTTAGACTGAGATTTGTATTACATCTATAATCATTATAGTCGAATCAGGAATCGAAATTCGAATCGAGAATCGAAATCGAATCGAACTGTGAGCTTGTGAATGGAGAATCGAATCGAATTTGAACATCTGAATCGATACCCAGCCCTAAAAATGACTGTTCGTTATTATACCCAAGAACAGAACACCACAATCGCTTAGACGCCATTCTGCTCCAGCGTATCAACAATGACGGACTATGATGACAGCTCGCTCAGTGCGGGTCTGTGTTGAAACGCTGCTGTCAATTATCAATCGTGGGAGGGGAGATTAAAACAAAAACACTGGATGGATTTTTATCATTATATGATGGTTGTGTACAGGCACTGCCAACACACATTTCAGTACAATCAACTTGAAAAAGTGCATGTACCATTATATGACCCCTTTAAGACATACATTTCTGTATTACAAATCCTTGTTTTTATTGGTTCTATGTGATATTTTAATTTTCTGAGATACTGAATTTGGGGTTTTGATTGTCTGTAAGCTGCAACCATCAAAATGTACACAAATATTTACTTGAAATATTTCACTTTATGTGTAATGGATCAATGTAATATACAAGTTTTCACTTTTTACCTTGAATTATTGAAATTTATGAACTTTTTGCAGCACTCTTTATTCATTACTATGTATTGTCTCGCCAGGATATGCCAGGTGATGGACTGGAGCAACCAATGTCCGTCTTAATCAGTGAGACAGATACCAGGGTTCTCATTGAGGGCACAGAGGTCCTCAGTAACGTGCCCTCAACCGCAGCTGCTGTAGCAATGCTATTTGGACTGACTTATGTGCTAAATCTCAAGTATCCAAAAGAACTGAAATTCACTTTTGAGTTTTTTCAGAAGATTTTAATGGAACTTGACACAAGAAAAATGACCCCCAAAATATGTCGCCTCTGCACTCTGCTGCATAGTCAATGACTGACTGACTGACAGCCTCCATTTCAGTGTTTCATTTCACACACACACAAACACACAGGATGGCAGAAATGCCTTCACCCCAGTCTCCACTACATCGTGTAATAGTAGTTCAGTAGTTTGTTGTTTACTGGATGTGCCAATATCCATGTTTTGTATTTTATTTACATTTATTTCTTCTGCCAAAAATGTTAATTCCTGAGAGAAGCAGACCAATTGTTTTTAGGTATTTGTTATTTCTTATTCTTATATGATATATCCACATTTTAATACTGCTATATATGAAATTCAACTTAAAATGAACCGATTACTTGAACTGTCTCAATTACATTTGTATTTGTAAATGTTTGTTTTGCAAAAAAAAAGTGTAATCTTAAAAACAATGATTTTCATATTTAATAAATATTTAAAAGAACGTTTGATCTGACTCATTTAAATATATATATATTGAGAGAATTTTTTTTTTAGATTATGCCAATTGTGAAGCCTTTTATATTACTTGCAATAAATATATATTATACAAGGCTTCTTTTTTTAAGCCAATTTAAAATATTGTTTTACACCAAATTCAGAAAATAGTTTGCATGAAATCAAGTCTGTTAAAAAAAAAATTTTTTTAATTTGAGCCAATTTAAAATATATTTATACCAAATTCAGAAAAGAGTTTGCATGAAATCAAGTCTGTTAAAAAAAAAAAAAATTTTAATTTGAGCCAATTTAAAATACTGATTTATACCAAATTCAGAAAAGAGTTTGCATGAAATGCTGAAAATTAGTTTGAACTGAATGGTTTCTGAACATTAGGTTAATGTAAAATCTTTATTGTGAATGGTTACTTCAATTTTATTAAATTAATCCAATGTTTCACTTTTTACAGTGTAGATAGATAGACAGGTAGACAGATAGGTAGACAGACAGACAGACAGATAGATAGACAGGTAGACAGATAGGTAGACAGACAGACAGATAGATATACAGACAGACAGACAGATAGATAGATAGATAGATAATAGATAGATAGATAGACAGAGACAGACAGACAGACATATAGATAGATAGATAGCTAGATATATAGATAGATAGACAGATAGATAGACAGATAGACAGATTCTGATCTCAGGGGAATGCAGGGAGTATTATTTATGATGACAGATGATAGTGCTGATATTTAGTTAATCGTTTAATCCTGATGAGTAGCTGCTGGAGAAATCCATCACACACACTTGATCTGTTGTTCATTCGTTTCATTGGAATGGAAACCTGATGATAAACTGTAAATCTGCCAGATCTTGAAGTTTGGACAGCAATAGTGAATGATATTGACCCTCATGCACACAGAGGGTCTGATCAGTGGGTGTGCGCTGGGGTCCGTGTCTCCTTCTCTCGCCCCTCCTGCGTTCCTCTGGGCGAGTGAAATTCCAGCTCCCCCTTCTATCCTTGCCTGGCGTTCCCTCTTTTCTCTTTCTCTCACATACACATGCTCTCTCTCAGGTCTCAGGACTCTCTGCTGTGGTTCTGATACTCATCTTCTTGAGGATGGCCTGGAATCATTCTGTCCTGCTCACACTGCTGCCCAGCGTCCTCATTTTAATCGGTGAGTAACCCCATTCAGTTTTACACATGTGAAACGTTTTGTTTTAGGGTATAGGCTTAGTGTGAGTAGTATTTATAAATACATTTAAACCATATAACAAGTCCTCGTTTAGATGGTTAAAAAAAGTTTTATTAATGTAATTTAATTTAAATTAAACAGATAATCTGCTTTGAAATGTTTCTTGACAATCATACTTTTACAAAAAAAAAGTACTGTGGTGGTACTATGGTACAGTGACGATTTTAGATACTGTACTATGGTGCTTTGCTATATATATATTGGTGCTAAATGATTCATATACTTACAGTACATATAGTATTTTAGGTTATTTCTAAGGGCAAAATGTATAGTACACTTCCAAAATGCCATGGTATAAGTATGGAACCCTGTCTAAAAAAGGTTGTATTAGCATGGTATTTTTGTAAATGTATTCAAAGACTGGTTGTAAAACACATTGCAGGAAGAGTTAGCAATTATTTCATATCAGACGAATTATCTTAAAGACCTGATCAGAAAAAACTGAAAAGAAAACACTCTCTTTCTTTAGTGCTGGCTGGGGTTGAAAGTGCAGCTGTTAAAGATGGAAAAAACACTGAAGCTCAAGGTGAGTTCAACACACACACACACACACTTTTATGGGGACTTTCTATAGACAATGATTTTTGTATAAACAGTATATTCTATCCCCTAAACACAACCCTCACAGAAAACTTTCTCCATTTTTACATTAAAAAAATTGGTCCCACAGTCTAGGGTTCACCAGTACTGCGCGCACACACACACACACACTCTCTCCTCTTACTTCATTGCTTTTGCAGGCCCATCTAAACGAGTTTTCATGCCAGCATCAGATGCCTCAAACTTCTTCAAACGCCGCGGCCGCAGATCCCCAAGAACTTATGAAGAGTATTATGGTAAGTGCTCTCCTAATGTCAGTTCTGCTTTTTTTTCTTCTTCATCATAAAGACACAATTACACTTGTGATATGTAGTTCAACAATTAAAGAGCTTACAGTCCACTCTAAGTAATCTCCCATCAAAATAATTCACACTGCAATAGGATGCAGATGTGAAGAAATAAATGAATAGCCTTCTTTAACTTTAATTATCTTACATATATAGAGACACTAATGTGCTCTCATTTGCTACACATCTGTTCACTATGAGCAAATTGAACACACACTCTAAAAAATAAAGGTCCTTTACTGGCATCTATAGATCCATGAAGAACCTTTAATATCCATGGAATCTTTCCATTGCACAAAAGGATCTTTATAGAGAAAAAAAGTTCTTTAGATTTTTTTTAATGTTCTTCAAATGCTTCTTTATGGAATCTTTGCGAAAACTCCCTATTGGAACCTTTATAAACTTCAAACACTATGATGGTGATTTCAAATAATACTCACAGTTTAACATTATAGATTACACTAATCAGAGTCGTAAATAAAAAATGTATTACCAAACTATTTACATTCCTCATAGTCTTCTATTCTTTACAGGTCTACTTAATTAAATATGTGTTTTGGTGGGGGTAATGCATCACAAAAATCTTGAGTTACGTAATTAGATTACTTTTTAAAGTAATGCATTACTTTTAAATTTACAACAAAATATCTGAGTTACTTTTTCAAATAGGTAACATAAGTTACTTTGTTTTCCCATTTATTGACCACTACTACAGGTGTGAGTTTACATTTCTACATTTTTGTTATTAAAAAACAAACAAGCAAGCCCAGGTGAGAAAAAGTAATAAAGTGACACAACATATTACTTTCCATTAAAGTAACTAAGTAACAATTAGTTACATTTTAAAGGAGTAACAATATTGTGTAACATTACTTTTAGAAGTAACTTTCCCCAACACTGCCTAACACAATACAATATGCAACTGAGACAAAACATGAGTTGAAACTCAAAAAGAACTATGTAGTAGTAAAATAAAACATAAAAAACAAATGATGAAATGAAGAAATAAATGCAATGAAATGCTAAAAATTAACAACCTGCATTATACTTCTAAAGCCCACTTAACTATTGCTTTTACTGAAGAACAGTTCTTCAAACTTCTGGAGTCACAAAATTAATTTTGGACAACTATTTCAATTCAATTTCAAGATATCTTGGACAATGCAGCCTTGAGTCAAAAACTTTGAGAACCACTGGGCTAGAAGGACCAACCGGACAATATGGAGCTGTTCTCTCACTCTCTCTCTCTCTCCCTTCCTCCCACACACACATACTGACACTCGCCCAAACGCCATCAGGCCGTCCCTTAACCTGCCAGCCTACGACTGCAGCAATGAAGGCATGGAAAAGTTTTACTGAAGTGTATTTGAAGTTGTCAGCAGTGTGTGTGTGATGGTGCAGGAGCAGACACTGCAGGTTGGAGGAGGTAAAGCAGTTGGGGCTCGAGAGAGGAATGTGCAGACATGAGCTAAACTAACCTCCCTCACTATGGAGAAAGAAGGCGAAACCGAGATTATTGTTGGCACCCAATTTTGTTAATATCTGCGAACTGCTGTCAGCAGGTTAATGGGAATGTGTGTTACCCCTAAACCTGTTTATACTGTAGTCTGGAGTTTTTGAGGATTCTGAGATGTCTAGAGATGAGACTAAGATTTTTTTTTTTTTTTGCAAGGATAGTGGATGCTTAATTGCTCATGTGTCCAGACGTTGCAAGTACAGACTAGTAAAAAAAAAATGGGTTGAGGTTGTTTCATGGAAATCCAGAAGCATATTTACACTTTGCCTAGTGATGTATCAACCTATATTTGGACATTTTGAGATTATAAGCATTGGCATGTCATTTCTGAACTCTAGCTTAGTCAATTAATGCACGTTTAAAATAATGCACATTCTGTTTTCAAATAAGCTAGTGAACACAAGAAGAATATATATATATAAATGTGTGATTTCTATGCTGAAATATGTCTTTTCACTCACTTTTAGCGGAGCAAAGGGTGAAGATGGCTGCAAATGAGCGGAGGAGGGAGCACTATGAGGAACAAAGCAACGAATACGAGAACTATTTAGAGGAGGAGCGTGATGGTGAGACTGATCTCCCTGTTTGATTATCTTGGCTTCCAGAAAAGGGAAACATGCAGTGCAAATCTTCACGGGATAAAGACTAATAAGAGGCTGATGACAGCAGTGACTCTGAGCCTCTCACAAACCCTCTAACAATGATTAGGAATTATAATCCAGAACACTTGATTGGTGACATTAGATCCCTGCACAGATTTGGAAGTAAACAGTAAATTTGGCACAGATGATATTTAAATTGAACATTTGTATGTTCCAAGAACACAGACTAAGAAAAGATTAGTGATTTCAGTTTTATTTTTCTAGCATGGAAACCCTATTTCCAAACAAAATACCACGGCTACTACAGTTATTGTTTCTACATAATGAATATTGGTTGCACTTTGTTTTAAGGTGACAGTTACATTGTAATAACTCTAAGTACTAAGTAATATTAATTAATGTACTTATGTTACTTGTAATTAGACATAGTTTACTGTTATTACTATGGGTAAGTACATGTAAAGTAACCACGTCAATACGTGTTACCCGAATATTTCGAATTTTAATTTCTTTTTGATGATAATCATAGCTAAATACCACAGTGTATTGGCGGAATCTCCCAGACTACATTTATTTTAGACTTAAGAAATTGTTACCTTTTAATATTGAAGATATATAATGTCTTGTTCGAGATGTTCGAGCTGCTGTGTCTTTGTATCAACAGAACAGAATGAGAGGACCAGAGAGAAGAACGAACAGTGGAGAGAATTCCACTATGATGGGCAATACCCACGATACCCTCACCACCGCCCGTACGTCTGAGCACATGCAAGGCCTCGAGAGTGCATCTTCAGTGGAGGGATACTTTCATGACATTATATAACTATTATTCAAAACATAAGCACTTTTAGATTTAAAGCTCAATACTACAGAGCCCCTAAGAAAAAATATATGAAATGGGAGGGAAAATTATATGCCAATGCTTTTGTGTTCGCTTGCAAACCTTTGCATTTCCTCACAAAACTGTGTAGCACTGAATGCCAAGTTTCTCAGAAAGCAAACATTTTACGAGCAAATTTCTTGGGGGAAAGGCAAACACAAAAGCTTTAAAATATATTTTTTCCACCACCATGTGCCTTTAGAATGGAGACCCTTAAGAGACAAAACTATGAGATGAGAGGAAAAATTGTGAATACTTTTGCATTCTCTTGCAAATCTTCTCAGTGGAACCCAAAACTTATTTTTTTATAATAAAACATTATAAATCAATATTATTATATCATATCATATTTTTTCCTGCCATCACCATGTTAGGGGCTCCATATAATACATGTATAAAAAAAGGGTTTATGTGTATTAAAATGTGTTTTTCTGTGTAAGTGTTATAATCACTTATCTTGAATCAAAAATTCTCTTTATTGGACTCATCAAAACATTCATGATTAGTTTGTGATTTTAAGCTTTTTCCCCCAAGAGCAACTGCTTAATTCCTTCAGTAATAACATTCAGCTATCATCTGACCTCCTGGTTTCTTCTCATTTTCCACATTAGTGAGGATTTGATATAAAATGCAACAACCAGAACAATAAAAAAGGGACAGTAAAAGCCAATAAAAGTCAAATGTAAAAAAAAACCTTGCCTTTATTGCAACATCTTCTAATGTCATAAATATGGTAATGTAATATATATATATATATATATATATATATATGAGCTCAGATTTGTGTATCTACAGATGGAATAATAATTCCAAGGCAGTATTTGCTGGCAACGGAGTGACATTCCTGTGCTGAGAGCTTAGACAGATGGGAAAAAGAGGGAGAAAGTAACAAGAAGAAAGAAAGATTTATTGACCTTCCTGAGTCTCTGTGTCGTTACCCAAATCTGACAGGAGAACAGCCTCCTGCCACTCCTACTGCTTAAGGAAGAGCACAGAGGGCTAATAAAGCTTTAAAATATCACTGCATGCTGCGAGACCAACAAGATTTAGCATGTGTGCCGTCCCCTGCAGTCAAATCAATGTGAGAACGTTCACAAGTTCACTTAGTATCGTTTAATTCAGGTGTGCCACTTGATGGTTGATATTAAAGTTCAGAATTAAAATAATAACAGTATATATTTACACATTTAAAAGGCTTGACAGCTTATCTTAAAACAACAAATATATAGACAACAGACAAACACTAGTAAAATCACTAAAATCACATTTAACATTGACCAACTTAAATGTAACGCTGATGCCCCTTCAACACTTCAGTCACACTCTCCGAGTATGAAGACGTGATCCGAAGCTCCTCATCTGTGTGTTTAGACTTCTCAGAGGAGTCTGGATGGAGACTGGGCTCAGGCCGTGCACGGGACAGCTGACTCTACTTTAAACTGTTGAGGAATTTGGCCTGTTCCTCTCCACGTGGCAACAGTAGCTCCCCTCCGATTTTGGGTCCCTTTTTCTCCTGTGGAAGTGAAATACAGAGCGAGTTACACGCACGCTTATATAATTAAATTCCTGAAGTACCACTTAAAAATACCACCCAATTCTAATTATTTATAAATACTGTGCACTTATAGAACATTAAATAACAATCTATTCAGTTATAACTTGTTTCAAGCAATTAAAGGAATTTAAATAAAGTAGTATAATAATGATAGTAGTAAAGAATTGAAACTGTACCCTTAACATGCCGTCTCTCTCCCACTTGAAGAGGCCACAATGGCTAAAATAGAAAAGTGAAATTAAAGTTATTACCACAACTTATCAACTGACAGTTAAGTATTAAAATGTCAGTGTCTTATATAAATGTAACCCATCCGTCCCCCACCTGCAGGCTCCGTGTGGCATCCGTGCCAGGCAGATCTTCCTCTGCCCACAGGGGCATTTGAAGAAGCGCTTGACGGCGTCGTGCCAGTGGTAGTCATGTTTCTCTTCCACACAGCGGTCCGCTGGTTTAAAGTGGGTGTATTTACACTGCGGGCGAGAGGGGCTCATGAACTAAACCGCATAAACGGTCCGTGATTTACAGGTGTAATCAGACCGAAACCACGTAATGGTCTAATTAGCATCTTAAAGAGGTTTGTTTGCTTTTTGTTCCTCTTGAACGACAGGGATTATGTCACAAATTATGTTCAAGATTGGTTCGTCATTAAGACTTGCTGTGAATAAATACTAATTTGCTACTAATGATGCAGGAGAAATCGCTCTGAATGAGACGGCAATAAATGTGTTATTATTCCACAGGGTTTTTCAAGTGCACCACTTGAAATCTAAAATGCATCCAGCGCTTTTTTGTACCTAATTTTTCACTGGAAAACCAGAGTTATGTAATTTATGGCTTACTCAGCATTTAGGACAGATGCAGAGTCTCTTTAGTTGCAAATTTGTTGACTTACGGTTTTGCAGGTTACGGCCCGACACTTCATCTCCCTGATACTCTTCATCTTCTCCTCCATTTTCTCTTTTTGCACCAGCGGCTCAAAATACTCCTGCATGGCCTGCTCCTCAATCTAGACAGATAACATTTAGTCACACATGCAAGAAACTTCCACCGAGGCATGACCTGAACAATCATTTCATACCACACATGTGGTGAAAAAAATAAACAAAACAATGGTGCGTCCAAAGCAAATAAACGCTGAACGCTTCAAATCAACTGCAAGCTCCGCCCACTTATTGTGACATCACACATATCAAAGCATTGACATTCTTATCAAAATACACACACGCTGCTGTTCAGCCAAGATACACACCTCTCCCATCATCCACGAGTTTGAAGACTTGGCGTTGAGGATACGCTGAAACTCCTCTGATTGGATGTACTCCAGCTGTTCCCGCCTCTTTTTCTGAGCTGGCTCCTCCTCCTCACCAATTGAATTTTCATCAGTTACTGCGGATAGATTTGTAGAAGAATAAGTGCCTTAGAGAAAAGCAAACAAGCAAACAGTCAATCATAAACCTCATGAATGTCTGTACCTGTAGGTGTGGAGAGATTGCGCTTTACACGATCTGTGATGTCATCGCTGTTGGCTCGCTTGCGTTTTACAGCATTTGGGTCGTCTTTAACAATGACTGAACCTTTGGCTTGGAGTTTCCTCACTGCCGCCAACTAATAAACAAAAATAATTAAAAACAGCTATTATAAACTAATTTAAAGCAGTTGTAAAAGCATCAAGGGTTTTGATCAAGGGCTCCAAGGGGGATGCTGGCGGTCCGTGGAAAATCTGGGAGAATAAAAATAAATTAACTTAAATGTTACAGAATTACTGCTTTGAGGATGGAAATCACAAGATTAATGTGATTATTATTCTATTGATGACTTTTGTTTTTAATAAAAAGATGCATTAGAGCATACTTACATTTTTTATATCAATAAATAACAATAAGAAATAGAAATGTTTTTTAAAATGTCATTTAAATGTTCCATTTTTAAATATGTTTTAATAATTGAATAACTTAAATGAACTCTTTCCCCGAATTAACATTCTCTTGCAGTCCTTTAGCTCATCTTGGATTTGACATTTCATTTGGTAGTGTTAGGCAGTTTTGATTTATACGTTTAATGTTTAATGATCGCATTATTGTATATGTGCCACTATATTGCTATATGTACCCGATTTTTCATTGTACCTGATTTTTTACAAATATATTTTAATTTTTATTGATATATTATTATTAGTTATTACTCATTAAATAACAATTTAAGTTATTAAACAATTAAAATTAAGTTAGCATAATCATTTTTAATAATTTCTCATTGTTATTAAAAATGAAGTTAATAAATAAATATAAATCTCACATTCTTTGGAATCATTTTTACTTTATTTATTTATATCAAATTCAACTGAAAATGTTTCTCTTCAGGTTTTTGCATTTAACTGCACTTTAATAAAAGATAGAAAAAAAGATACACAGCAACACAACATTCTAGAATTTAAAAAATCCTTTAACAAATGATGGAGCACTTTCCCGGGCCAGTACCTTTGTGGCTGAGAGGCTCTTTGATGAAGGTGGAGACAGATCAAGGAGGATGTCCTCTCCTTCTGAAAAACCACGGCCCAGCGATGGAACAGCAGGACCTGAGAGACGGGACGCAGGGGCAGACGACCCTTTCGGGACCTCCGAGGCTGCTTTTGGGGAGAGCAGGGGACCCCTGCTTACACTGGGCCGTGAGGGGGCAACAGGAACCCCACTGTTCTGACCCAGCACCCTAGGTAGAGGGGAAAAATATTCATAGCACATCTACTGTAAAGACAGTTTAAGGGTCACAAGAGCACCAACCAATCCAGAAAATCAATATGGAAACACTAAATGTTTCACTAACACTAAAACCTTTCAAATGTAATGCAAAACAAATACAATGAGTAGTTAAAGCAACTAACTAAAAATATGAAAAAACACCTCTCACCTCTTTTGAATCTCTTCTGCCCTCTTCTTTCGAGCAAGCATTCTCTGCTGGTGTTGTTCTTTCTGCTGTTTGAGAAGGTCAGATGCAGATATAGACTGAACTGAAGATCCTGTCACAGCTAAAACAAAGGCAAATAAAAAAATGAGGCAAGAAAGAAATGAAATTTGCAAGCTATCCAAGTGACAAATGTGCTGGCTTTCGGTTTGTTTCATTGCATCCCAATTGTGGGGTGGCATTCAACAGACATCTGCTGGCCCAAAACAGTACTGCAGCATCAGAGAACATTCAGAAGTATTATTAACAGTGCAACTAGTAGCTCTCAAATTGCTTAAAACGCATGAAAACCAACAGTGTTTGAGGTCAAATCTGGCATGGTTGCCCTCGAGGTGCATGGTTTAAAAATGCACAAGCGTAAATGAGATTTGAGAGTTGTTTTAGTCTGTTCTTCACACTTTACAGATTAAGAATGACATGAGAGTGAGTAAATGCTCATAGAAGTTTAATTTTGGATGAACTATCCCTTTAAATTACCTGTACTTTTGGCATGTCCTAAATGCCTCTTTATATTTAGTGCTCCAGGCGTCGGCATAGACATCAGGCCTTTGAAATCATCGGAACAGCCCAACACCTCGCCCGAATTCAGAGCTACCGGAACAAACACTTGATTAGAAATCATGAACAAGCACAAAAAAATGGCAGCCATAAAAAAAAAAAAGAAAAAAAAAGTGTACTAAACAGAAGGTTTACCAAGTTTCTTAGTTGGGATGGATGCTAAAATAGACTGCATAGTGGGTTGTTTCTTTGGCTGTGGGGCAGACCTGTCAAAATAAAAGATTAATACAATCATTTTAGGGTTTGTGTGGATTTAGAAAGGTCATAAAAAGAGGCAGTGAACTCACGTCGAGGGCGCACAGGCGAGTGACGACATGCCCCCGTAGTGGAAGTTAGATTGGCACAGGCGCTCCTTCAAACTGCCCCGCCCCTTTCCTTTACCGGGGGCGGGGCTTGTGAAGCTGGACTGAAGCTCAGACCTCTTTGAGCTCATTTTCTTGTACTGGGCTTTAACATGGTACTGGCAGTACTGGCATTCATGCTGTTAAAGCAAACAGGAGTAATGAATTGGCTGATCGTGAAATATTACAGGAAAGGATTTTTTTGTTTGAATATGGAGACTTACCAAGTTGACTAGCTGAGTACAAGAGTCCCCGTTCTTTTTTTTTGCCTTGCAGGTGCCGAAATCCATGGCTTCTCCCATTATAAGGACCTTCTGTGGGTGGTCCACTGTCAGGCTGAGCTGAAGAGAACGACACGTACCACATGACTCATTAAAATTAACATTGTTAGCAATCTGTTTTACTTCCAGAATCGGGCATATTTTGGAAATGAATAGGGGTAATATACAAAAGTGTTATTTTAGTATTTAGGTAATGCGTTAGTATAGTATTACATACATTTTGATTTTAAAAATTACATTAAATTCCATTTGTATTTTACATCCATAATGTGACATTGAGTGCAACAATATTTAGCAGGTAATAATGAGGGGTGGGACTTGATTTTAATGCATCAGGATTTGATTGAATGGAAACATGTGAAGTTATTATTGGTTAATATTATTTTGGTTCCAGTTGTTAAAGGGGCTATATGTAGAATACAGAAACCCTTGTTATTAGCGACACCGGTGGCTGTTAAGTGAACTGCAGCCAGCAACTTATTGCTTGTGCTCTCACTGGTGCACATGTACAAAAAACTGAACGTGATTCAAGGCCCTGATATACTCACGGCAACGTATTTTCGTTCTTAATTTAGAAGTAAAAAGTAGTTGGAAAAGTCTTTGCAGCGATATACTGTTAACGAAAATTAACGATGTGGATATATTTGCACCAGCTCTGCAATTCACTGGCATCATGTCGACAGATGAGGTAATTAAAATTACACTCTTATGATAGTTTGATTATAATGTATATTTGAGATAATAGAATGCATAGATCTGAGACTATAGTTTGAATTAATCCATTTTCTTTGCATGGCATTCACATTACAGTACAGAATAGCTCTTTCAGCATTATCCTGAACATTGTATAAGCATTCATTTCATGAGTCATAGAACGGAAGAGAGGCTCTCAGAAGCGCACAACTGCGTAAACGTCACATCCTTTTGATTTTCCGGCTAAAACGGCCAGAGTCCGTCACATAAAATTAGTCTACTACAGGCTTTCATGAACAACACAGGAAGTCAGGGAAGGTCTCATTTTGACACATTGGCAAAAAAAGGAAAGAAAATTGATTAAACATGAAAATTCGTACATACAGCCCCTTTAAAGATCATTTTGATCAGTCCATTTTGAATTTCTTTTTAAATATATGATATTGAGGGCTTTATGTTCACAAACCTCATTGGAACCCTCTTTGTTCTTCATTGGGTTTGGATTGAGGATGCCAATCACTGTCCCAGTGTCAGTCTTCCACAGATCCGTGTGAACAGACCCAAACAGGAAGAGAGATACAATCACTTCCAAATTATGAAGGTCATTCAGCTTCCAGATGCTGAAGGTTTTCCCCTACAAAATATACAAGGGTATAATTAAACATACAAGATGTAATCCATTTACAAGAGTTCAAATCTCAGAAACACCAGGCTCTTACGTTGTTTTTGCTCTGTGGGGTAATCTTATTTATCACCACCGCGAAAGTGACCCAATCACTGTCCTCTAAATTGTCCCTGGCCAGTCGATCGGGCAACTGAGAGAGCTTGATCAGTTTGCGGGTGGACATTTTTTGCTCAATGTCTATGGAAGACAAACGTGGTTTCCTACAGTGAAAAAAAAAAACCATTGTGCTTTTAATAGAAAGAAAAGAGAAAATCTGAAATACATATTTATGTAAAATTAAGGTCAAGGTCAGATGGTATCAGGTTATTTACGGATTTTATCCTCATTGAATTAACAACTTCATTTTTTATTAATTTTCTATGTAATAAAACCAATTAAAGCAACATTAAAGAGACCATATTATTCCCTTTTTCAAAGTCTTGATTTTTTTAAGGGTCTACTTGAATAAGTTTTCATGCTTGAATGTTCAAAAAGCATTATTTTACATATAGTTTACATTGCAGCACCTCTCTTTCTAGTCTGTCAGTAACACGGTTTAGTTCCTGTCTCTATGAAGCTCCTTCTTCAGAAAAGCACATTGTGCTCTGATTGGTCGGCTGGACCAGTGTGTTGTGATTGGTCAATCGGTTTGAGCGCGAGATTTTGGAACACGAGTTTCAACACACCACTAAAACAACTCACCCAGGCCTCATCCCTTTTTTTGCATATGCATTGTGGGGGAATTATTTAAATAAGGAACATAGTAATGTGTTCGTTCCCAGAATAAAACTCAAGACTACAATGGAGGCGTTTCAGGGAGTTCAGAAAGTCTGCGCTCTGATGTAGAGAAGAACTCCCTTAGGAGGGATTTTGTAACTTTCCAGACATTTTTCATGCTCAAACAGCAAAATTACACAATAAAGAAAGTTGAAAATGTAAAAAAAATAAAAAAAATAATAGCACCTCTTTAATCATTTCAACAAGCCAAAGTTATTGTACACTGACCTGAGTCTGAGACCTGAGAATTTCTCCACGGCAACCTCTTGATTGACAGATGGACGCGGTGTGGCGTGACTAACAGTGGGAGGAGTCTTGAGAGTGGGTGGTGACTTCAACGTACTGTCTCTCATTGGCTGAGATTGGCAGTTATTCATACTCTGGCCAATAGGAGTCTGCCTTTCCGAGGATGCTAATTTACAAACAAACAAAAATATTTAAAGCATATGATAATTAATATATTTCAAGCATTTCCATCATCCTTTTTGTAAGCAAAAAGAACCAAGAAACACTGAGACTTGCACCTGCTTTGGGTGGATGGGCCGACCTCTGCTTGTTTTTCTGTTTTGCTTTGACACCTGACGGAGGAGAGGCTCTGCTGTCCCGTCGTGTTGGTGGGGTAGCATTCAAACCCCCTTGAGGTGGTGTTAAGGGTTTGGTTCTCGCCTGTCTCTGGACGGAGGGTTTGCTTTCAGGCTGTGTGGTTTTCTGTGAGGCCTCCAGCTGCTGCTGTAGCTTTTGCATCTTCTGCTGCATTAAATTTAGTTCAGCTGGAAGACAAATACAGTCGTGATCATCACACAACAGTCCATGTGAGTATCTAAACTTGCCTAGAATAACTAGAGCATTACCCTCGAGATCTTCTTTTGACTTGTTCAAGTCACTGCCCCCTTCAACAGAGCTGGATTTCCCAGGTGCCACGTCTTCTTCCCCTTGCTCCTCCTCCTCCTCCGGCTCAATATATTGATGACCGTCATCATCCTCATCGAAGAGGTCGTCCAGATTGTCAGTGTCCTCTCCAGCAGCATGAGTCTCCAGATTCTGGCTCTCAGTCTCCGCAAATAAAGACAGCAGCATGTCCAGGTTCTCCTCCTCTGATGTTAGACACATGTAACAATTACATTGTACAGTATATTGCTCATTCATTAAATATAACAGTTACAAAATAGAACATAACATGTGTTATGTAAATACATGCACATTCAGTTAATACTAAAATTATTTCATATAACATTTTATAAGGATCATATATAATACATACTTACTATATAGAACAGGTTATTACACATTGATTAGATAAAACGGATTTAAACTAATATAATATGACTGTCATGTGTAATACTCTCGAAATACTATATGACACATACACTACAATAAAAATATATGATCGAATAAAGTACATGAATATAATGTCCAAAACAGTATTTCAACAGAGCAACAACAGCATACAAAAGTATATATTATATTAGAACATACTAATTATATCATAATACAAATCATATAGTATTTAGTAAAAATCAGTCCATGAGATTTCGGCAACCGGGAACTGCAGGAACATTTCTCATCTAATTTAAGTATGGTTTATTCAACCAAGTAATAAACTGGCCAAACATTTGTACTAATATGCTGGCGGACATACCTGTCATTTTGATTTTGTTCGCTCTTCCTTGCTTTGTGTTTAAATGAAAGTTATTTAACAACTCAGAGGATCAGACGCGGCAGCTGTTGTTGTTTCAATGTTGGCGCGAAAAATGTTTAGTATTCAGGACCCCGGAACCACGTCACTTTCCAGAGAACTTCGTGCCTGTCCATAACATAATAATAATAATAATAATAAATAAGAATTAAACTGTTTTACAAAAGCATCACAATTTTACAAAAACGTCACAATAACCCTAGGTTTTTGTAAAAAATCGAAAAATACAATAAAACTAAATGTTTTCTGTAGCGCCACTTAGTGATATTTACATTTCCACGTCTAGCCAAAAAAAATCTTTTAAGCACGCTTAGTTTTCCGAGAATATTGGATGGTATATTGAGCTCTATTCTTGGTAAAGGGTTAATTAAGTTTAGATTTCAAATTTACTTTGATAGACTTATAAATGTAAAATCAAATTATTAATATTCATTACAGCCATGTCCCATGTGAATTATAAATGTATATAAATTTACGGACATTCAGTGTCAAGTTGTACACCTGTGTACTATATGCTATTGAACAATAAATTATGTTAAAAAAAAAAGTAAGAGTCAGGTTTGATAAATTAATTTCAATTACACTCTCTTAGTAAAAATGCAAGAAAGAATGATGGAAAGAACAACAAATAAATAAGAGACATAAAACCACACACAAATGCGAAATTTAAACTGTCAAATTTATTAGATAAAAATTAATAGTTATTCGTGTACACAGCATTGCATATGCACCTTCCAGAACAAACTGTGATGTTTTAGAACAATTTACAATCAATGCAGGCCTTTTAGACAATTGGATACACAATATATAACATCAGCTACTGAACGTATATGAAAAAAAAACTTTTTATGTCTGTTTTATGCTAAGATCTGATTACAATACCAAGTACATTTCCTAATAAGGAGTCTTTCTATGACACTTACTGCATGGCCTATAAATATAAGTTTATTATTTTGTTTTGAGGTTTTCTTTTGTTGTTACAGGTCAACGGCAGACAGGGTGTACTGGGGAAAAATGCACAGTTCTAGCTGTCAGACCCTTTAGTTAAATTTGCTCAAATCCTATTTAATCATCTATTTAATCTTGAATTGTAAAACAGTGCAAACACTGAATAATTATGTACTGTTAGTTTATTAGGAATGTTCAGGCAACCATGGTAAAACTCTAAGGCCCTGGTCAAATACTCGTTGATTTCATCACTGAGGATCAGCACACAAGCTTTGATTGCTGTCGGGCTGTAGTGAATTCTTGAGGAGAATCTCACTGCTTCAGCACAGGCAACTCTCTGGGTTTAAAGAAGGCCTGGGACATTCCCATAGCATAGATATACACCTTGGAGTCCACAATGATTTTCTCTTTATGCAGTAACACTATAAAAAAAAAAAGGAACAACGTAAGGTTTAGTACATCAAAGCAAAATCTAACAAATATGTCATTTACACCGGAGGTCGAAAGTTTGGAATAAGAATTTTTTCTTCTTTCTCTTATGCTTACCAATGCTGAATTTATTTCATAAAATATAGAGTAAAATTATTGCTTTTTAAATAACTGTTTTCGATTTCGATATTTTAAAATGTTAATTATTCCTGTGATGGTAAAGCTCAATTTTCAGCGTCATTACTTCAGTCTTCAGTGTCACATGATCCTTCAGAAATCATTCTAATGCTGATTTACTGCTCAAGAAATATTTATTGTTATTTTCAATGTCGAAAACCATTTTTAGTGCTTACTATTTTTGTGGAAACCGTGATTAATTTTTTTCAGGATTCTTTGATGAATAGAGAGTTTAAAACAACAGCATTTATTTGAAATATAAATCTTTTGTAACATCATAAATGTTTTTTACTGGCTCTTGAACCAATTTAATGCATCCTTGTTGAATAGAAGTTTTTTTTTAAAGCCCGAGCTTACCCTAACCTTTTAAATTGTAGTGCATCACAGCTTACACAAACTATTAAGCAGCACAACTGTTTTCAACACTGATATTAATAGCAATAATAATTATAAAAGCAAATCAGCATATTAGAATGATTTCTGAAGGATCATGTGACACTGAAGACTGGAGTAATGATGCTGAGAATTTGGCCTTACCATCACAGGAATAGATTATATTCGAAAATATATTTCACAATATTACTGTTTTTATTGTAATTTTGGATGATTCTTACTCAGCATAAGATACTTTTATTTAGCAATACAGTTATTCATAACCAATGGACATAATTATAAACTAAAAAATTACGCATTTCTCAATAGCAAGAAATCCACTCACCGTCGATTTTTTGCTGGAATTCATCCAAAGGTAGAAGAACAACCTCCACAAATTCTGAGAGACAAAATACATTTTCAGAAAAATAAATAAATAAATAAAACATTATCAATAATGGTGACTTATTTTATACTGGGGAAAAAATACATACCTCCATCACCTAGACATGCACAATGGAGAAAGAAAAAAGAATGAATAGCTCTGCATTCATTTCACACACTCTGTTTCAATAATAATGAAATGTGAAATTATCCTTCACTCACCCAGCTGCTGAGTGGGGTTTATATTTGCACTGTCATCTCCATTAATATGTACCATCACGATCTGTGTGGTACAGTTAGACAAGCCTGGGTCTAAACATGTGACTAAAAGACAGAAAATGGGATGAGATATTAAAATAAGCAAGTTATTATAAGCATTTTGTGAAGTATACACACACATGACAGCAGCTGTACCTGGGGTGATGCCCACGACCTCCCCTTTGTAACCCGTTTCCTCCTTTAGTTCTCTCAAAGCAGCCGCTTCAGCACTCTCATTGTCATCAATCAGACCTGCAATATTCATTCAGAGCGAATAATCAATGGTTAATTTATTTTATATAAACTATTATAGGCTGTACAAACCTAAAGCAGACTGGCATCATCAGACCTGCAGGAAACTCCAGTACGTTGCATCCCAAGGGTGGACGAAACTGCTTCACCATGACGACACAGTCTCTATGTAGGGTCCGCTTCAGAAGGGCTATGATTCCCACACCTTACAATATTTATAGAGCATTAAAGCATGAACAAAGTTCCAAATGAATGTGTGTGAGAGTGTCTGGAAGCACACACACCATCAGCTGTACTGTTGGCTACTCGGGTTGTTCTCTTTGCGGTTTCCCATGTTCTGAGGGATCCACAAAAGATATTCCAGTTAAATGTCTAGAAAGATAGCATCTGTCTGTCTGTTTATCTAACTTATATGTATGTATGACATGTATGCATGTGTGTATCTGTCTGTCTGCCTGTACATTGATGTCTCTTTTTGTCTATCAATCCATTCGTCTGTCGATCTATCTAGAAATTATTCCAAAAATAAATATTAGGCTGTTTGACGGGATTAAACCAGATTACTCCAATTATTTATCTATACAACTACCTAGCTATCTAACTAGAAATAACCAGTGAGAGTATCATCATCATGTGTCCAGCACTCAGTCCAGAGGTCACACATCATTCACACACAGTCACAGATCAATACCTGGTGCTTCCAGAGGGATCCACATATGTGGTCTTCTCAAGCTTCACCCAGTTTCCACTCGCTATCAGCTAACAAGAGCACATATTTTAGTGTTAAAGAGCACTTGGTAACAACATGTGGGTGTTTACATGATGGCAAAATGTAACATGTTTATTTTACTGTTCATTTAAGACATACTCTTACCTCCTCTTTGATTACACGAGGTTCAGTAGTGGCTTTCTTTGGAGAGCTCATCTTGTGTCTATTGTGTTAAGTCTGCACATGCAAAAGAAATTAAGTTACAGGGCGCATGATGTTGTCATGATGATGACCATAGTCTATTTCAACTAGTTAATACGCAAAAAGATAACGAGAGATCTGTCTAAGTCGTTTGAATTAGCGGGGTACTTACAGACAAATCCGAGAGAATTTCAAATAGATCACAGTGGTCTAGCCCGAGTGATCTAGCCTGTTTAGTTAGTTTTCTTTCATGTAGTCACGTGTTCAAAGAACATCTGCCCACTTGTGTGCAGCTAAAACAGTTCCCCCTCTTGTACATTGCATCATGTTCTTCTCATTGTATACATTATGTTGTCAACCTGACCACTTAAATTTAAAAAGAAAAAATATGATTGAACATAAAACTTCCTTAAAGTATTAAAAACACAGAATTGTTACAAAACAAAGCACAGTTATAAATCGGAAATGACTGTAGTAACTAGTTCTAAACGTTAGTTATACCGGAATGTTTTTGAGGTTGCGCAGATTACCAGTGTAGTTTCAGGCAGCATGAAGAAGGAGCAGGTTGTAAACTGTCAGTTTTCTGTTTGGTATTCTTTATTCAAGAAACACACTATTAAGAGGTAAGAGAGTTATTTATATACAGTGGGGTAAATAATATAACGATCGGGGTTCACGCGGAAACTCAGAAAGAGTCCAAACATCGAGCGTTGTAGTAAAAAGTACAATAGCAAATTATGGTAACGTTAATGATGCAGCCATGGACATTTGCAATGGTGCTACCATGGTTGTGGACGATATTTTGGATATGCTTATTAGTACTGCTATGTTTTATTTTTGTATAAGTACCATTGTATTTGAATATGATTATATGTCAAAATATGATTCAATTTATGTACTGTAATCTTTCTCTCTCTCTGTATGTATGTATGTATGTGTGTGTGTGTGTGTGTGTGTGTGTATGTGTAAATTAAGTACTATAACAAAGCTTAAAAATAATGATGGACCTTGGCGTTTATATGCGAATGTTTTTTTTTTTGTTTTGTTAATGTGCTGTTGTAATTAAGTATTTAGTGCTGGTTATTTTCTCTTTTCCAGCTTGATACTACCTATACCTCAAAATGTAATCGATTACTTATTAGATGACGGGACACTTGTGGTTTCTGGCAGGTGAGATATTGAACAAACAATTGAAACAGTTTCTGTTCTTGCCGAGTTATATGATGTATTATTGTCTCTCTTTATAGTGAGAACAACAATTTGCAAACACAGGCGAACAACAGTGACTCAGATGAGGAGGACATTCAGGTATGTGTGTGGCTGTGTGAAATACAAGCACATTTAGATATCTCTTATACAACTCAACCAGTTTCCTGATCTCGTGCTTTTGTTTTCCAGTGGACTGACGATGAAACTACAACAACAGTTACGGTGCGTCTCATTCCTTTCAGCCAGTCAAAGCTGAGCTGATCTGGTATAGTTGTGCAGGCACTAAATTGTGTGTATCTTCCACAGGCCCCAGAATTCCCAGAGTTCAATGTAAAGGTGCAGGAGGCAATAAATGTTCTGGGCGGATGCGTCTTCCCAAAACTGAACTGGAGCGCCCCTCGGGTGAGTAGATTTGACTCCCAATTGTTTATCATACATATGAACGTATAATACTCACAATACCCTTCATCTTTTTGTCTTCCTTCTCAGGACGCTAACTGGATTGCCCTGAACAGTTCCTTGCAATGTCAGAGTCTAAGCGACATCTTCCTCCTCTTCAAAAGTTCAGATTTCATCACGCATGACCTCACACACCCGTAAGTCTCTGCTCACACAGGTGCATAAAGGCTGATATTCCCCATTCCCATAAAGCTCCGTGTGATTAGATTTTTCTTCTTAAAGGAGAACTCCGGCGCAAAATGAACCTTTGGTCTAATTACACATTGTTACCTAGTCAACCGTTATCTGAGATTTGTTTTCATGATTATCGAATGTAAATAGTTTTATCTCTACAAACAGTTTAGCCTATAAAGCTAGTATAACGCTAGTATATTGGGCATAGTGTAATGACAAATAAAAATCGCTTGTTAATACCACTAACAAGGCTCAAAATAGCCCCACACTAGCACGGTAGCATAATGAGGGTCCCTACCTTCAAACCGAAGCATTGAGAACTTTGTCAGTGTCCAGACAGTTTAATAAGAAGATATTTTATACATACAGTCAACTTCGCGTATACAGACAGGAGCCATCTTTAAAATACAGTCTTTACCAGTCGATCTACGAACGCCGATCCAAACCTACTGTTCGCGCTCACCTTATCACAACTTATAGCTCGTTCACATTCTCACCAGCGCACTTGGATCGGCGTTCGTAGATCGACTGGTAAAGACTGTATTTCAAAGATGGCTTCTGCCTGTATACGCGAAGTTGACTGTATGTTTAAAATATCTTCTTATTAAACTTTCTGTACACTTACAAAGTTCTCAATGCTTCGGTTTGAAGGTAGGGACCCTCATTATGCTACCGTGCTAGTGTGGGGCTATTTTGAGCCTTGTTAGTGGTATTAACAAGCGATTTTTATTTGTCATTACACTATGCCCAATATACTAGCGTTATACTAGCTTTATAGACTAAACTGTTTGTAGAGATAAAACTATTTACATTCGATAATCATGAAAACAAATCTCAGATAACGGTTGACTAGGTAACAATGTGTAATTAGACCAAAGGTTCATTTTGCGCCGGAGTTCTCCTTTAAGAAATTCAAGAAAGCTGGTTGGTTGAAGTAATAATTTTGTTCCTCCTTTGGCAGATTCCTCCATTGTAGTGATGATTCTCCAGACCCAACCATAAACTATGAGGTACAGAAAACACAATAAAGCAGTCAAGCATACTTTTTTTAATATGCAGTGCACCATTCAGATATTTTTGTTCCATAGCACACCATTATATTATATTATATTATATTATATTATATTATATTATATTATATTATATTATATTATATTATATTATATTATATTATTATTTAAAAGTTTGGGGCCAGTAATTTTTTTTATATATATATATATAGTAAATTAATCAATACCTCAGCAAGGACATGTGAACATTATTAATAACAATAAATGTATTCTACAAGTTATTGTACAATATTATTGTTAATAATGTTATTATTATTTTTAACAGCAAATTAGGATCATGTGACACTGAAGACTGGAGTAATGATGCTGAAAATTTAGCTATAAATCACAAAAATAAATTATATTTTGTATTTATATTATATTCAAATAGAAGTAATATTAAACGTTTAGTAATATTTCACAATATTACTGTTTTTACTGTATTTTTCAAATAAATGCATAAGAGACAAAAAGATACATCTTACCAACCTCAAACTTTTGAACATAACATTATATTGCATTATATTATTTTAGATTAGATTAGATTTTATTATACCACAATGAAACCTGATGGATAACCCTTAAATATCTCTTCATTAAATAAATACTATTAAATAATAAATAGTTTCTCTGTGGGACTCATTTTGTGCAGCTGGTTTTGAGAAAATGGAGCGAGCTCATTCCAGGAGGAGAATTCCGTTGCTTTGTGAAAGAGAATAAACTAATTGGTATGAACATCCTGCATTTATTAAACTAATATGTGAATATTCTGTTTTGAATGTAATGCTTTTAATTGAATGCATTGTATAATATAATGTAGCATGTGATAATCTTCTGTTTATTAGCGATCTGTCAGAGAGATTACACACAACATTACCATCACATCGCCAAACAAGAGGCCAGCATCTCCTCATCTATACTGAAATTCTTCAGAGACCACATCCAATACCAGTTCCCAGATGAGGACTGTAAGTGTATCAATGTGGAGGAGAAAATATTTGTCTTATTGTTTTTAAAAAGTTACATATGTTCATTAACAATATTGTCTTTTTTCCAGTTGTCCTGGATGTTTACAGAGACAGCTCAGTAAGGTTTTTATGCAAATTTTACATTTAAATGTGTAATTTACTGTATAGCAATGTATGATTGTACTCTGAAGTTTAGTGTTCATCAGGATTTATCAAAATTCTAGTAGACCCTAAAAACAAAATCAAGACTTTGTAAAAGGGGATAATATGGCCTCTTTAATGATTCGACTCAAGTGTATTTACAAGACTGCACAAACCTTTTAAATAAGCGCCTTCATATAAAAAAGTTTGTTTTTCTAAAGGGGCGTGTGTGGTTGATTGACTTCAACCCATTTGGTGATGTCACAGACTCTTTGCTTTTCACATGGGAGGAGCTAACATCTGGCAAAAATCTCTCAGCCAATCAGACGCAAGAGGACACAACACAGCAGGTAGTTTATACTCGAAAATTGTACCCATTATACATCAAACCCTGTTCAAATGTATTTCACTGGCAGTATTTTAAGAGACAAAAGTGCTGTGTTTTATTAATGGCATGCATACCATATTTTATTAGGACGCACCTGCATTTCGATGCACCACCAGTGAGGTCACGGTGCAGCCCAGCCCATGTCTGTCCTACAGAATCCCACGGGACTTCCTGGACCTGACCACAGGGGGAGATGCCTATAAACTCATTGATTTTCTTAAGCTGGTGAGTGAGATATGGTTAAAACAAGGACCTCTGTAGAAAAAGAGTGATATAACACAACGGCTTCATTTATGCAGCAGCATTTATGCATGAGAATATCAACCGTATTCAGTAGCCGAAGTGACTCACTTTAAAGTGCCTCTATTATGCTTTTTCGAATATTTCCTTTCATGCAGTGTGTAATATAGCTTTTTGTGAATGTAAAAGATCTGCAAAGTTTCAAAGATCAAAGAGTATGATAAATGGAGAATGAAGAAAGAACTCATTCTGAACTGCCTGAAACGAGTCGTCAGTAATGTAACGTAGGTTACGTAGGTTTGCAACAAATTTGACCGCAAACAACATTTCCATCATTTGTATCATTGCTGTAAGCGGCATTCCAATCACAACAGACTTCCATCTGACCAATCAGAGCAGAGCAGGCTCTCAGAAAGGAGGAGTTTAGAGACTGAATCCTTTATCGAACCGTTTCAGACACTGTGGGAAAAGATGCTGCAATGTATATTATGAGAAAATTAAAGTGTTTTTTTTTTTACCTTGAATGCATGTAAACCCATTGTAGATTTACAAAATTAGGAACCTATAAAAGTGGATAAAGGGGCACTTTAAATATCCAGAACTCAAAATTTTGACTGTGTGAATATGGCTGATTTAATGTGTCTGATGTTACAATTGTATTTCTTTCCTTCCTCTGTAATTACAGAAGAGGGGGCAGCAGGAGGAGGAGGAGTCTGATGCAGAAGGGGAGGGGCCTCAGTAGTAAACAGGAAGTGCTGGGTATCAGTGCGGCTCTCCTGCAGTTTACTTCCAGCTCTGCTTGAATAGACCTGTCTATATTTTTCAAGTCAATTGGAAGATTTTGATTGGCTTCTTCAGGGTTAAAATTATATTGAAGTAGGCCTACCAAACTTTGTAGGAAGTTCTCATTACTGTATATAATGAGATGCTGACCTAGGAAGTCCCTGTCAAATGCTTAACAGGCTGAAGACATTTTTATGCTTTCTATCTGCAGTAGTGCTCGCACACATTACAAATTTAAAGTGCAATAGTTTTAAAACTGTGTTATGAAGTAATAAAAATGTATAATAATAATTTTAAAAAATGGTTTCTGTGTTAATGATGTTAAAATCTCCATAAAACAAACTGGATTTTTGTTCTAGACTGATTTTTCGGCATCCACGTGGGGGCGCCAAATACCAGAGAATTTTGTGTGCAAGAATAAGCTGCATTGCAAAGTAACTTTCGGTCAAACTTTTAATAGTTAGTTAGTAAGGTAGTTGTTAAGTTTAGGTATTGTGTAGGATTAAAGGATGTAGAATGTGGTCATGCAGAATAAGGCATGAATATGTGCTTTATAAGTACTAATAAACAGCCAATATCCTAGTAATATACATGCAAATAAGCAACTACCGCTAGTTAATAGTGAAAATTGGACCCTGAACTAAAGTGTTATCAATTTTTTTAAGATGTCCTTGTTACAGTGTATTTATACATTTAAGTACTGAATAGTATTACTTACATTAACAACATGTACTTAATATAGGATTAGGGTTTGGTTTAGGGTTACATAATGTACTGTATGTTGCATGTATTTACTGTAGTCATTACAGTGTTATCGCTACAGTAAGTACATGCAACATGTAACTAGGACACTGTAAAACATGGAAATATCAAGAAATTTGATTTACAGGCCTTGCAATTTAATACAATCTTCCAATGGCATGGACATAGTGCAAAGATATGTTTCTAGTTCAGCTGTTTTCTGCTTGGCACTTAAATATTTCATCAATTGTTTCGTGCAGTTCTCGATTAAATTATTATTAAATCCTTATCTAGTAATCATAAGAAACTGAAAAAATATTTGAAAAGACATCAAAAGGTTTTGGAACACTGTCAAATACAGTCTAAATGAATTAGAAATGCAATATGAACAGTATTTGTTAACACTTTATAAAATAAGGTTCTATACGTTAACATTGCTAAAGCTAACACAAAATAATAAACAAACCTAGCGTGTGGGTTAATGTTAATTAACCATATTAATTAATTGATGTTAATGAACTGCCTAAGAAAATTGACACCCTTTATTCAAATATCATAAAAAATATGTTAGAGATTTTTTAACATGTTGCATAATCGTGGTCGGATTTAGTCGTTTTATTTGTGATAATAACGCAATGAAACATTACAAAATGTGCAGAATTATTTATTTATTTTTGACCAGGTTGTCATGCAAAGTAATTATGAACACATGCAAAAACAAGAGAGAACCAACTAAATATTAATAATTGATTTTGTGGTAGTCATTGTATAATTTTTCCTGTTTTTATATGCATTTGTATTTGCATATAAATGAAACCAGTAGGTTTGCCTTATAATTTTGTCAGATAAATACCATAGCCAAGTTTAGTGTTTTGTTCTTCCCTCTTATTTAAAATATTTTCCTCATATATTGATGGTTTAATCTAGGCTATATATTAGGCCACTACTGTATTATGAACAAAAATGTATTTAACATTGAACAATATTATATTTATTAGCGCTGTCAAATCGATTAATCCCCATTAATCTCATCTAACATAAAAGTTTTTGTTTACATAATACGTTTAAGTGTGTGTTTGTGTATATATATATATATATATATGTCTGTGTGTGTGTAAACACATAATTATACATATATAAATATAATATATATGCACACACATATATTATGTGAACAAAAACTTTTATGTTAGATGCGATTTGACAGCAGTAATATTTCTATATTAAATTAACATTAACCTAGTTAATAAATGTCGTTAAAAATTTGCTATCTTTTATGATACCCAATGTTAACCAATTAAACCTTATTGTAAAGTAACACACAATGTTCTTTCTCCCCAAAAAGTCCACTAATTTTGGTGTATTTAATGGGATGAACTAGTCCATTCAAATTAGATTTTAATTTTAATTTAACATAATATGAACTATCAGTGAGCGTGTCTATATTAGCATTTTTTGCATGATTTGACAATGTTTCCTAATGACTGACAAACGTGAGGGGGTGGCGGTGACTGTCAGATCAAACTGCTTAGATTTGCTGACTCAGTCAGAGCTAAAGAGAGAAAGAGGAAAAGAGAGAGACAAAATGCAAAGGGAGGGACAGATTTTTCAGAGCCGAGAAACTGCAGTGGTTTGCAGCTGGAATACTCATGAGCAGAGAAGCTGACTGACACACACACACACACACAATCCTCTCCGATGACTGTACTGATACAAGTGAACAGTCTGTGGCCAATCTGACATCCAGAAGACACGTGTCAAGCAAGCTTCAGTGCTTTACGGCCTGGTCTCAAAAATGCTTTTTAACCCTTACATATTGCATTATGAGTTATAGACATTTTAACTCCTGGGGGGGGGACAGTGAGTGAGTCTAGTTTTTGGGGAAAATATTGAAAAGGTTGTCACTGTAACTAAATGTTTTAAAGGGACTCATAAAAGCTCTGGCATCCTCTCACCATCTTTATCTAAAAGTCACATGGCAACTTGCTATGAGAAGGCCACCAACATCAAGGTAAATATTATTTTTTACAGTGCAATTGTGTTAATTTGTATTATTTAAGTCATGGTGTGTTAAATAATTTAAGCATTTCTTGCACTTTTAGAGCGTAACAGTTTATTGCTAAACACAGGCGAGGCGTGTGCAGAACTCTGAAGCTGGTTTGTGGATTATGATCATCATCAGCCTGCTAATAGGTGCCACCAGATGTAGCCAAAGTGTTGTTTTACCTTGACTTTGCCTAAACTATTTTGCCTAACATATTGACTTTGTTGCTTTAAAATGCAGAAGCTATTAACAGTGATTAATATCATCATCTTGCATGTGCCATAATGCATATTAATGTGGCCACTGTTTTATTTACTTAGACTTTATTAAAATAATTGATCTGAATGGATGCATGCTTTTTTTTTCAGTTGGACCTGAGCATGCTTTTGGTGCAATGCGAACAATCCACACAAGCACACGATCTCCCCTCCTCCTCTTCTCTCCTCTCCCATATGGCAAGCCATTTTAACATTTATTACATGATACAACTATTACTTTTTATGGCAATAGAACATATTTGTAAATACTAGAGATCCAATAGAAACTATATATATTTAAATTGTATTATTCATTAGATACCAGTACTTATTTCAACAGTGACTAGTTATAGTTCTTTCCACAATGCACAATGTTTAAATCAGTCAACCTGTCAAACAGTTCCAGGTTTACTATTAACTGTTCATTAGGTCTAATACTTATTCTTTAGTTAATTGTATTGCAATAGTAGTAGGCTATCTATTCAATTTTCGTAGTACGAATTGAATAGACACCATGCATGTAGACAACCCTGTTAGTAACTAGTGAGATAAAAAAAGGGTACAACAATTCAGATTGATACCATTGTCTAGTAAGAAACTAGAAAAGCCAGAATAGATATCAGTTAATAGTTAAAGTACTGGTATCTAATGAATCAGTACTAGTCGTTGTAAAAAAAGAAAAAAAAAAGAAAAAGAATTATTAACTCGTAACAACAACAAAAAAGATGCTCATTAGGTGAGTGTTAAAACGGCTTGCCATATTTCTCATGCATTTGCTCTTTGTCAGGTCGCGCGGTGAGGAGCACAGCATCTTCCTCCTCCTCCTCATTCACTCACTCACTCACTCTCTCTCTCCCCTCATTGCCATAACAACGGATGCAGCGCATCAGTCCGCGCGGGTTCAACATTCAGCAGCCGCGCGCGGCGGAATAAACCCGCACCGGTGCCGTTAAGACACCGCAAAGGTGAAACACGCACGCACGCGCCACTCTGAACTATTTACGTCAAACCGTTTAAGCTGCCTGAGGGAGACGAGCGCACTCGGGAGATCCTCACCGGGGTTGTTTGGTAACGGTTCAACCGGGGAAGGCGAGAGAAGAAAGAGCAGGAAGTGCAGCGTGGGAAAGCGGAGAAAATCTCCGGGGATCTCCAGCTCACTGCTCCATCTACGGTCCTCCCCGATTTTTCCACCATGGCTCGGGAGAACGGAGAGGCCGGCGGAAATTGCTCGTGGAAGAAGCAGGTCGATGATATCAAGGAGATGTTTGAATTCAAAGAGGTGCTCGGGACGTGAGTAACTTTGTTTAGACTTTGACATGCGGCTATAACAGAACCCACCTATGAAAATTCACCATGGTAACCATAGTTTCCCCTAAACACAGTAGTGGGAACGCTGGTCTGTGAGTTCGGTCTGGTTTTACGGTGGTTTGGGGTACGCTTGACTAAACCCATAAACCATCTTAGGCTTGTTTAAGATGATGGTTTCAACACTATGATGATTAGCCTATACTGTAAAACCAAGATAATCATTTGTGATCACTTTCAAACATTGTCAGGATATTTCTTTCACTTTTTGCTTATTAATTTTTGATTGCAGTGGTGGCGGCTAATACCATAATAATACAAAAGTTATTAGTAATACTGCCATTTTTAAAAGTGAACTTAAAGTGATGCCAAAGTTCATTAAACTTTTTTTGACAACTTTGAAATTAATCACGGACAAAGATAATCGATTTGAAACTCATATAAGTACCGAAATGATTGTGTCCAGTTAATGCATTGACCCAAAGATGTTATATTATAATGATTCTAAAAATTTTTACAGTGTATGGCTACTAGTAAAATGTAATGGATAACTAATGCCATAAATGGTCTTGGTAAGCAAAAAACTAGTAGACAAAGGCAATAAATTATAAACAATAACAAACAACCCTGCTGGAAAATCCATCCTAAAATGGTCAATATGATCAGTAGTTGGTAGACCATCTTGGATCAGCAACAAATGCCAGTTTGAGGTCATCAGACTGGTTTTGGACCTGCTTGAAACCAGCTACCATGTTCCCAAACACAGCTACCAAACTGACTTTTCCAAGCATGAACGTTTTGTTGTGGCTACACAAGAGAGGAGCAATAATGTTCTGATCGGTGTTTCATTATTATTCACTCCTTATCTAAAAGCGGAGTCAGAATGCACTGCAGAAATTGTATTTTTATTTCTGTGAAGCTATTTTTTGGCTTGTATGATGCATTGTTTGATGCATAAAGAGCCATGACGGTTTCCGTTAGCCTGCATGCGTTGCTTTTGCAGTGGTTGTGGTCATGCACGTGTGTTTGATGATAAACAGTGGGATTGTTTTGCAGTATGCAGCCGCTTGCATCGCCATGCATGCATGTTTTCATCCACCACACAATAGTGATTTACTCTCAGGTTGTTAGTTAGCTGATATTCAATTCCACTCGGACCTATAAAGATGAACCTCTGTGCATCTACCATGTCTTAACCACATAATAGTTGCACTGATGCACGGTTCTTGTTGTGCATCCTTGCAGACCTGTGTTTATACGTGCTGCGGCGGGTCGCCCCGGTCGCTTTGACTGCAGTAATTTAATCTCTGTGTGCTAACCAGGGGAGAGTCGGATTAACCAGGTCGGATTATTGCACTGGAGGAAGACAGTCCTTGAATAGATTGGGTCCAAATTTCATAAACCTGAGAGGTTTGCCTAAAGTGTAAGTTCGCCGATTTTCAACCTGCTTTGCATTGACCCTTTTCCCATTTCCGGGTTTCTCATAAGCAGGAGTCGTCATAGTTGGGTAAACTTATATAGCGGTGAATGAGAGACTACATTAAACCAATTTTTTGTGCTCCAATTTCCTCAAATAGCAAAAGACAAATGCCACAATATTATTTTCACAACTTTCAAAAAGAGAAAAAAAAGGTAAGATTGATAACAGCAGTCGGAAGAGAGAAAGATACCAATTTTACTGTCTCTGTATTAGAAACACCCTCACAGCAGCCGTAACTAGTTTTTTTTTGTTATTTGATGCAAAGGTAATATAATACCAAGTATAGTGTTATAAATATACATAATATACAGTAGTCAACATTTGAAGTGGATCACAACCTTTCATCAAAGTCATACATGGATTTTGAACAATACCCGTTCTTGTCTTAGGACAACTTTGATGAACTTTTTTGATCCACTTCAAATGTTGACTACTGTATATAAAAACTGCAGGATTTATGATGCCGTTGACAGTTAAAACGCGTCAGAGTCTGTGAAAAGGGTCCATTCAATGCAGCGACTGACGCTAGTGGTCTTTAGCGTCCTTGTTCGCACGCCCGCCTCCCATGCCAGCGACCTGGGTTTGAATCGCGCTCGGAGCGGGTTGAGTAGGACCGGTTAAAAAGCCGTTAGCCACTGCCTGCAACGCACTGGATCCTTCACTGTAAACTGAAAATAACTCAAACCTTTACTCTTTGAATTCTTGCATCCTGGAACAAGTTGACACCATTGTGACTAAAAGTTTGCTAAGTAGTATTTCCTACTAAAGCAAGGCGGCATTTGACTCTGATCAAACCTATCCAATAGGAGCAGACTGAGAGTGGCCTTGGAATCCAACATAACCAGTGCATTATGGGCAAAAGGGAGGACAACAGCCTTTTATTTCCTCTGTTTTCTCTAGCCAGGTAGCACAGATATAAACATTATGTTTCGCCTTTCTACCACACATGCAGCCAAGTTTTATTCCCATTAGTGATTTACCCTTTTTAACGATCATATGATACTTTACAGTATTGTTACACATTGCATGTTAATATAATTACAGTATCACTAAACAAGGTGTCACAAGATTACACTACTGTAAAATAAACTATGACCCTGATTGTTCAGTTGTAGAAGTGTTTTGTAATAGAAGAGCTCCGACTGTGCGCACACATCTATTAAACCTATGATTAGGTGGATCTGAGCTCTATGTGAAGACGCTGCCGTCATAGCAACCCAAGAGACAGGAGTCATGGCAACTCTGGCTGGCCCGTTCAAGCACACCATTAAGAGGGTCTCACCGATCTTCATTTTCCCTCATATAAAAAACGCTGCTGGCATGGTACGGTTCTCTTCGCCCACGCTCAGGCACACGCAGATTTTATTTATCCACCCACAGTCATCCAACTGGCCATTATAAACCAGTACACAGCAGGCCTGATCTTTACTGTGTTCACAGCATAGTGTTATTATTTCCTTTTGAAATATTGATTATTGATCGGGCTAAAATGGCAAGGAAAAGCTGCAGCATGCTTATAACCCTGTTAGTTCACTTTATCCAGGGCTTTTCCTGAAGAACGACAGCTGTGTTGACATTTCCGGCAGAGTGGAGGGTATTTCTGCACATATTTTTTGACGGATGTGTCAAATTCAACAGTTGGGCTCTGCAGGGGCAGCTTTCTAAAACCGTATGTTTTTAGAAACGAAGCGGTTTCTGCTCTGAGACCTCGGCTATTTCACATCCTCTACCCGACCATCTCACACTTGGAGTCACATGAATCATTCAGTTCTAGCTTGTTTGGTCCTGAATGACCACAAAAGACTGACTTCACTTTTCTTTGTGTGTAATATGTAATGGAGAACTAATGTCATAAATGCTCAATGTAGTCTTCTCTTATTTTCTTGGTAAGCAAAAAACTAGAAGACAATAAATGATATACAATAACAAACAACCCTGCTGGAAAATCCATCCAAAAATGGTCCAATATGATCAGTAGTTGGTAGACCATCTTGCACCAGCAACAAATGCCAGTTTGAGGTCATAAGACTGGTTTTGGACCTGCTAGAAACCAGCTACCATGTTCCCAAACACAGCTACCATCTTAAACTGACTTGTTGTGGCTACACAAGAGAGGAGCAATAATGTTCTGATCGGGGTTTCATTATTATTCACTCCTTATCTAAAAGCGGAGTCAGAATGCACGGCAGAAATTGTATTTTTTGTATCCTGAAGGTATTTTGGTGGAGCTATTTTTTGGCTTGTATTGAAAGAAAAAACTCATTAAAAGACGTTTGTTTAATGCATAAAGGTACATGACGGTTTCCGTTAGCCTGGATGCACATGAATCATTCAGTTCTAGCTTGTTTGGCTCTGAATGACCACACAAGACTGACTTCACTTTCTTTTTCTAGCTTTCTTGCTCTCTGTTTGAGCATGTAACTGCTAGATCATTTCCTGATCTCTCAAACCGTACTTTTAAACCTTATGTAAGCCATCCTGTTTCTTCACGAGATGTACATTTTGGGGGCCAGGTGCATAGACGCTTTCAATGGAAGCTTTTTGTCTTTACTTTAAAAACCAAGCATAAGTCAAAAAAGCCCACCTCCTTCTAAGTGTAGTATTATATAAGTACTGTTTTACTATATCATATACGTATGATGAGACGTATCATTCATGTCTGTTGCCAATTATGCACTGAAGTTTTATTCTTGGACTTTGAATTTGTTCAAATCCATAACCCTTGGCCTTGGAGCATTAGTAACAGTGATGCTTACCATAACATGCACCGCTATTAACAATATTATCACCCGCGCAGTATGAATATGTAGAAATAGACTTGTTCACTCTGCCTAGTAGCCATTAGGGACATTAGAATTCAGTGTTGTGTTTCATCTGTGTGTGTGAACACCTCCAGTGTTGTTCTCTGAACTGAATTATTCAGTATGTGGAGCGCCCAGAGGCCACAGGAGGTCATGTGATCACTCAACAGGTGCGTGTGCGCCAGGTACTGTGTACATGATGCTACTGTTAGAAAACGCTCAGAGCCACAATCTAAAACACACATATCGTACGCCAGGTGAGGTGACTCGAGAAGAGAGGAGAGAAAGGAAAGGCAGAGGAGAGATTAAAAAAAAGAAAGAGAGAGAGAGGAAACATTGAGGTCATGAAGCCCTTAATTGCCTGCTCCATTTTCAGGCCTGTGCTCCTGGCTTTGTCCTCTATTTAGAATCTCTCTCTCTCTCTCTCTCTCTCTCATATCCCTCTGTTTCTTACTGTACTTTATTAAAGTGACTTTTACAGGGCGAGCCCTGTATAGATTCTATTATAAAATCCTTGTCACTGATACTCGCTGTGCACTGTAATAAATGAGGGAAGCCTGAGTTGTTTGGAAAGTGTCTTAAAGGTACACTAATCATTTGTGTCCACTTGAACTGCACTTTTTTATAACCAAAACTACTGTCTCATCGGGCAGTGAAACAAACTAAAAATATTAAGTACACTCTTAAGTTTCTCCTTGGTATGT